TTTAAGGTTGCTGCCTATAAGTTAACCAAGCGCTGTCTCATTCTTTTATTTTTATATCGTACTAAGTGTAGTATCTCCAGTGATGGTAATATTTATTTTTAGATAACTGGCTCTAAGTATAACGGCTTGGTGTCAATTTATGGGGTGACACTACCCCTTCCCCGGAATTATTTGCAGGATCCAATGTATGTTGTAAAAAGGGGGATGTTTATTATCATTTACTATTTAAAAATATATAAATATATATAGAAATTACTTTAAAAATACATTAATAGAAAATAACAAATAAATAAAAGGTTGTTAAACAGTATACTAATAAAATATGGGTGGTACAGAAAAATATTGAGTCCACTTTAAAGCCAAAACGCGTTTCGCCGGTTTATTCGGCTTCCTCAGTCAGCTTTCCAAATCTTCTGTTGTCTTTCTGTTTAAGTACATTCAAATTCCCGCAGAAATTCTCGTGGTTCTGCGCCGTTTGCGGCGCGGTTAACTTGCCGTCGCGTCACTTCCATTTTTTCGTTACTACAATGTCCATCATCCTTTGCGCTCCATGCGCGACTTCCGGTCCGCATATTAAGTCCCATACGTGAAAAACTCCTTATCTCAAAGTTCTCATTCGAGCCAAATCGGCTCACAAGGATATTGCTCAAATGAAGTAAAGAGGAATATTAGAAATTGACCATTGTTGTTTACTGTTATTTTGATAAAGAAACTAGGTAACTCTTGTTTCATAAATACAGGGGGGAAAAATATAAATACATCAGTTAATCTTTATTATTAGATAATCTATAATAGATATGTAGATATAAATAATATTGTAAATAAAAATAATATTGCAAAAATGAAATGAATAAGTAATGAACTATAAATTTAAAGATTTAAAAATAAAGAAATAAGTTGGTAACATTACATCATAATGGTAAATTAATATTATTAGGAATAGATAAAAAACAAAGTGGGAGTGATACTAGTATAGTTAATAGTTATAAAAAATGAATATTAAAATATAGATAAAATTGAAAAAAGTAAGGAAAAAATTGAAAATAAAATAAAATGAAAATAGGAGAGAAGAATAATGGTAGTACTAATAAAAAATTATGCCTGCCCGGGAGAGAGCCAGCCTGTCTGCAGCTCTGCCGAGCGCAGAGCTGCAGACTGAGAGGGTCTCTCGATCTCACCCAGTCAGAGCGTTGCCACGGGTTACCACGGCAATGCTCTGACTGGCTGAGATCGCGAGACTAAACTTACCACGTGGTCTGCAGCTCTGCACCCGGCGGAGCTGCAGACCGTAAAGGGAGCCCACCGGACCACCAGGGCTACAGCCTTGCCGCCCACTGGACCACCAAGGAACAAACTAATCCCCAGGTATTTATGCCCTGCCCTCCCCTCCTACCACCCTCTGCCCCAGCCACCCCACCACCAATGCCCCAGCCACCCCACCATGAATGCCCCAGCCACCCCACCACCACTGCCCCAGCCACCCCACCCCTGCCCCAGCCACCCTACAGCCCCTGCCCCAGCCACCATCTGCCCCAGCCACCCTACCACCACACTGCCCCACCCCACTCACCACTGCCCCAGCCACCCCACCACCACTGCCCCAGCCACCCTCTGCCCCAGCCATTCTGCTCCCAGCTACCACTGCCCACTGCCTACCCTCTGCCCCAGCTACCCTACCACCACTGCCTCAGCTACCTCTGCCCCAGCTACTCCCACCACCACTGCCCCAGCCACCCTCTGCCCCAGCCACCCTCTGCTCCCAGCTACCCTACCACCACCGCCCCAGCCACTCCCACCACCACCACTGTCCAAGCCAGCACCCCTCTGACCCTTCACTGCCCCAGCCACCCCTACCACCACTGCCCCAGCCACCCTCTGCCCCCCAGCCTCCCTACCACCCAGCCACCCTACCACCACTGCCCCAGCCAGCCTCTGCTACCACCACTGCCCCAGCTACCCCTGCACCACCACTGCCCCAGCCAGCTCCCAGCCACCCCACCTCACCACTGCCCTAGCCACCCCACCACCACTGCCCCAGCCACCCCACCACCCTCTGCCCCAGCCAGAGCACCACCACCTGCCCTACCACCCCCTGCTCCAGCCCCCCCCACTACCCCTTGTCCTGTCACAGTCTCCTACCACCTCCTACCCTGTCAAAGCCCCCTACCGCCCCCCCACCCTCTCACAGCTCCCCTACCCTGTCACCCCACACCCATCCAATCACAGCCTTCCCACACACACACACACACGCTGTCACAGCCTTCCACCGCACACCTTGTCCTTCCCCACCCATACCCTATCATTACCACACACACTGACACCCCCTTCACATACACTATCACCATTCCCAAACACTTTCAGACCCCACACACAGTCGCTCCCTAAACCCGGCCAAATTTACATAACCCCTCCTAATCCTGTCACTCTCACCCACTGCAACCATACCAAACTCCTTGCTTTGCCACACCTACCCTATTGCATTAACACCACCCCCATCAACCCTGTCAGACTCACCTTCTCTTGCACTGTCACACTCACCCCCCGACCCTGTCACTCATCCTCTATCAGTCTGTCCCACTCACCCCCTTCACCCTGCCACACTCACCCTATTACATAAACCCTTACAACCCTGTCACACATAAGTAGACCATGTCAGATACAGTCATATATACATACACCGCCACTTATGTATATACGACTGCAAGGCTATGTAACCATACCCCTCAGTCATGTATAAACAATTTGCATAATTGCTAATTAAATTTGTTTATTGCAAATTAAGTTAGTTTGCATATTATGCCATAACTACAGTCAGAGAGATCACAATGCAGCGGAACAGGGAGCAGCGACACTGCAAGCCTCTGAATGATGAATACAGAGAGTAGCTCTCTGTATCCAGCACTGCAAGTTTGTCCTTCAATACAACTACAGCACCTTATACACACAATGTAACCCCTATTTTTAACTTTAGGTGTTAGTGGGGGCCTCATGTTTGAGTTTCGCCTAAGGCCTCACAAAGTCTAGAGCCGCCACTGTTTGTGAGTATGTGTTTATTATTATTTTGCAGTCTCCATTAGCATAAACCATGACGTTTTCCTTGCAGTAAACATTAGCATTGCCTCTTCAGTCCTCCATTGGCCCCATCACAGCAGAAGATATTTTGATTTGGCAGCCAGTGATAGAAACATAGAATGTGACGGCAGATAAGAACCATTCGGCCCATCTAGTCTGCCCAATTTTCTAAATACTTTCATTAGTCCCTAGCCTTATCTTATAGTTAGGATAGCCTTATGCCTATCCCACGCATGCTTAAACTCCTTTACTGTGTTAACCTCTACCACTTCAGCTGGAAGGCTATTCCATGTATCCACTACCCTCTCAGTAAAGTAATACTTCCTGATATTATTTTTAAACCTTTGTCCCTCTAATTTAAGACTATGTCCTCTTGTTGTGGTAGTTTTTCTTCTTTTAAATATAGTCTCCTCCCTTACTGCGTTGATTCCCTTTATATATTTAAATGTTTCTATCATATCCCCCCTGTCTCGTCTTTCCTCCAAGCTATACATGTTAAGATCCTTTAACCTTTCCTGGTAAGTTTTATCCCGCAATCCATGAACCAGTTTAGTAGCCCTTCTCTGAACCCTCTCTAAGGTATCAATATCCTTCTGAAGATACGGTCTCCAGTACTGTGTACAATACTCCAAGTGAGGTCTCACCAGTGTTCTGTATAATGGCATGAGCACTTCCCTCTTTCTACTGCTAATACCTCTCCCTATACAACCAAGCATTCTGCTAGCATTTCCTGCTGCTCTATTACATTGTCTGCCTACCTAGGTTGAGAGTGTCAGTTAACATACATTTTTGTACCCTATGACATCGAGGAATGGACACCCAGGGGGACCACTTTGGGATGACAGCTTCATTAAGATTAAGTTGTTGTGGGGGATGGAGTCGGTAGCAGAGCTCCAATACCTAGCATAGGTATCTCCGCTGATTAGTCCTCTTGCTAAAAGAAACAATGTAATACTCCAAGACTCTTTACCCATAGCAACTAGACGACACATAGTTCTGGGAGTCAACGGATTTTATTTTGGCCACTAACGGCTTCTATGCACAAACCCCTACTTGTGGTCTCTTATACAAAGAAACAGGGCTTTTACTCCCAAGATCCTTTGTGCTTGAGAGATAATTGTGTGAGAAAAATCTATAACTCAATTATCTCTCAGGTACAGAAAAATCTACAATATTTTACAACACATTTTAATACTTCAGAATCCCACACAAGTCATATCACCGAATAGCTTGGATCTGAGTGCACACTTTGACGAAATATCACACAGATCCCTTTGTTGGTTCGGGAACACCATTCTAATGAAGTTTTGACTGGTCGGCAACAAGGTGATGCCCCAAAACAGCTCCAGAGAAAACAAGGCAATGATCGGTCATCTTTCGGGGGTTCTTGCATGAACACCGTCGAATGCATCCCCTGGCTGTTATGGTGCGAATGCTCCCCCTGTTCGGTAGTTCATGCCTCCCAAACGCCGTTATCATAACTATTCTGGAAGTTGGATGAGCAGCGGTTCTAGTTTACCTGGTGTTTGCGGGATTGCATAGCTGAAAATAGTTCCACGCTGTCAATGACAATGTACCACTGCCCACGTTCGGGAGATAAAATGGCCACCAATTGTTTGAACACATGCGTTTGGTTACACAAACGGCGGCCACACAGGGAAAACAATTTCTTTAATTAGCTATTTGTGGTTAACAGCCAGGGGTGGTCGGTTGTTAAAAGGTGAGGACAAGGGGGCCACACAGATGGGGGTATACGGACAGCCCTGTTCCTGAGCACTGGTGTCATGGGGGGAGGGGTCACCAAGGGAATATTTCTGCCTGGTTTGGTCCCATTTCTGACTAGAGTTGAGGATAGCTGGATTTGTGGTCAGGTGGGGCTGTTACGCAAACCCACAGATATGTAAATTCCTCCGTGTTTATTTTTAGGTGGTATTGGCTGCGGATGAGCACCATTTCCGGGGCTGTAAGGTAGAAGGGCATGGCCACTGATTTAGTTAAGTTGACGTTGTAGCCGATACATTACCGAAGTGGTCCAGCAATGTCATCAAGTGTTGTAGGGAGTTCAGCAGGTTACTGAGGGTGACGAGGACATTTATTAATTCCCTAGAGCCTCAAACAAAACATCCACAAAACTTTCCAATATACTAACTGGTATTTTTATCAAACCTTACTGAACAAACGTCCAGTAACTCTTCCTTTGAATCCAGTTTCCAACTCTGAGTAGAATGACTAATACCTGTCCAGAACACATCTCATTATCCATATAGGAGACTTTAAGATCCTCTTATTCCTCCATCCTACCCTATCGATTGCACTATTGGCTAGAGTATAACATGGTAATTCGTCTGTGCCCAAGTCTACAGCTGATGGTTTTCTTTTAGTCAATATTTGGTTATGGTTATTCATATATTCTTAACTGATCCTTTTTTTAAATTTAGGATTACTAATGTGTACAAAGTCAAATCTGATAGTGTTCTTATGGAATGGTATAATTTAAAACCTGGTTTCTCAACATATAGTATGTGTACCCCAGGGGGTACATGCACCAAAAACAGACTTAACCATTTGGCAGGTGCCTACTCTGCCCAAATAGAGTATCCGTGGGGAGACTCTACCCGGGTGGTGAGAGAGCTGTAATCTTAAATGCCCTGTGGTGATGCCAGGAGCCGGGTTATGACATCACTCCAGCCCCTGCATCACTAAACAGCGTGAGGGAGCAGAGCAAAAAGACTATGAAGATGACATCAGTCACATTAGACCCCAGGTTAAGTATCCATTCCAGCTCCCCCATAGTTGAGGAGGATGGGTGGATGTAAGGACGTTACCTTGAGTGGGAGTCAACACGAAGAGTTTAAAGCACCCTTTGCAATTATACACAGGCCAAGGGGACTCAAGGTAGAAATCCCCAAGGCTGTGAACCAGTGCACTGGGGCTGAAAATAACCAGTGCTTCCAGAATCGAGGTACAGACGAGGAATAGCCAATAAATGTAGTCAGGGGCGGAAACAAAGGTCAGGACAGGCAGCAGATAGGCAAGAGCGAAGGACGAGCAGAGGATCAAAACCAGAGGCAGATAAATAGCAAACAGGAACCAACAGGAACAAAACGATCTGACAAGGATCCATAGCCAAGGCGGGGTTATGAAGGCTGGAATCAGCAGACATCAGGAACAGGTGAGTAAAGTCCAGGCATACAGGTTCAGGCTACTAGATACCAGGAACAAACAGAAGTAAGCAAGGACATGTGGAGTCCAGTGTAAAGTCACTTGCTGGTATGCAGGAAACTCAGGTTTGAACCCAGCCAGGACCAAATACACAAAAAATGCAGAAGGCGTCATGACAGTGGGCTTGAATAAAAATAATAATTTGTGAGTGTGTGTAAGAGAATGTGTATATGCCTGTCAGCCAATAAGGGTGGTCATTTTGATGTCCAAGTAACTTTACAAAGGTTTTTTCGTGCTTTTAATTTAAAAATGCTTTTCTCTGCAGATCTGTTACACTGAGAGCCACCAAGAGTACAAGAGGCAGATACTGATCCACCGGTGGGTGGCACACATTCCAGAAATTTAAACTCGATAAATGTAAGTCTAAAAGCTCATGCTCTTTTGTCACTAATAACAGTTCAGTGCAAACTTTTATTTATTACTGTTGTTAAGAAAAAGGAAGAAGCTCTCTTGTGGCAGAAGCCACTACATAAATTCAATATGAGTCTTAATGAGAAAAATGCACTTGAGGAACCTAGCATGAATAGGGACATTATCATCAAACCCACCGATAAAGGCAGGCTGATAGTGGTACAGAGCCAGTGGATTATCATACTGAAGCAACAAGACAATTGCTCGATAGGGAAAACTACAGAATTTTGAAAAGGCAGATCCCTCTAAGTATGTTTCCACAATCATAGAAACTGTGGTGGACAGGGGACATACTGGTGGTGTCATCTGTCAGTCTCAGAGAGACTTTTTGTACAACAGCTGTGTTGTAGTTCTTATCCAAAGTACATAAAGATGCAAAGAGACTCCAGGGAGACCAACTGAAGTTGGTACTGACTATTTTCCAACTGCTAGCTATTTTTATTGATCAGTTTTTACAGCTACTAGTGACTGAGAGTCCATCCTTTTTTAAATTCAGGATGAGAGGCTTACATCTAATGATTGGTTAGTAACTTTAGGTGTATGTAGCCTATATACTTCCATTCCCCATAGAGAAGGCTAGGGCAGCTCTGGAAAAAGGTGATATCACCCCTAAGTTATTAGATAGCATGTTGACTCTTTTGAATAATGTATTATGTAAAACCTTTTTTCGCTATGAGAAGATCTTGTCATACCTTTAGCTGCAGCGGGGCACATGCAGTTTCCCGGGGGAGCCGTGTGGCAGCCACAATGTCTCCTATCCCACGCCTCTCTGACCAGGGTGTGCCCCCTATGCCTAGACACCTCCAAGTCGGAGGCCACACGGATTTCTGTTGCTCCATGTGCAGAATGCGGTCTGCACTCCCTCACTCTTGTAAAGTTGTCAGATCACTACAGCACCTACAAAAGTCCTTAAGAATTGCAAAACCATGTTCAGGTTTTTGATTTTAAAACAGAGTGACAGGTTATCATTGTGGGACACATCATCTACCCTTCACAGGTCACACCCCTTTGTGTGAATTGATACAGGGTGATGATGATGTCCAAAAGTATTTTGGTTTTCCATATATATACTTACCTCTTTCTGAGGATCTTGTCAAAGTTTATTCTAGCCCGAGAGTGTGTACTGAATAGCTATTGTGTTCTTGTATTGACTATCCTGATTTTCTATTTCCTTGACCTCGGCTTGTTATATCGCATTTTCAGTAGCTCTGGCATGTTTGACCTTGGCTTTCTACTAACTCTGTATTTTTGCCTAAGGCACACTTTAAAAAAGGCCACTCTATGTTCCAGTATACGTATCTCTCTGTTTATTTACTTTATTTTGGCTACTGTTTCTCTATATTCTGTGTGTAGGGGTTACCCTATCCTGACAGGGTATAAAAGCAAGGAAATGAAAATCATAATACAAAAAAGAAAACTGGATGCATGGCATTTAAAACACATAGATTGTTTCTCTTGTTATCAAAGAGAGGATATACTCAGATGGCAGTCCCAAGAGCGAGTTCAGCTGATTCCTCTAAGTGGCAGAGGTACCTCCTCAGCCCCAGGTCTGCATTAGGGCCGGCATCTTTTTTTGTGTTCATCGAGGGACCAAGTCTATCCCCTTCAGGGGTAGGGCGAAGGGGAAGAGTGGCAATCTCCGCTGGATATAGATGCTCTTCCGCCCACGTGGAAGATGCCTGGAGGTCTTGCCTTGGGTGGCCCCCGGCTTTGGTGAGGTCGTGAAAGCTTTGTTTTAGATCTTGCGCTCTGAGGAGGCTTCACCTTATGTGGCTGCTCCTTTCTCCGGTATCCTTTCCATGGTACAGACTTGTGGGTTGTGGTGTCTGTTTTGCGTGCTTGTATCTTCAGCCAGAAGTTCTAAAAGATCTGATCTAGCCGCCACAGGGAGTAGGCAGTGAAGTCACTAAATACCCTTGTGGTTGCATTTGTGCCATGTGTGTGTGTGCACACGGTGTCCGCCATCTTGGGATGATATTGTGCGATGCAATATTTGCTAGGCTTGAGTGGAGAGAAAAGCTGGAATAGCCGACTACTCTCCAGAGGGGACCGGGATTTCCCACGCCGGTCCAGATGGGGGGTGGGGTGGTGAGTGGGAGAGGGTAGGAGACTCTAGTTTAGAGTGGTTTGAGTCGTGGGGAGGAAAGCGCAGCCGACTCTCCTCTACTCCATCTCCAGTAGGTCGCAGCCTGCAGCTGCTGTTCTGGGAGCAACATGGGAGTCACCCTGGGTCTAGGTCTCCGACTTGTTAGTTCGGGTTATTACAGAGTAAGCAGCGTTAGCAGCAGGAGCTCATGCAATGCACGTTTTCCAGTGGTGTATCCTGGTTTTGTGCTTCCCTAGGCAGGACAAAATTCAGGCACTCCCCTCCCCCCGCGCCACCCCAACCCTTCCCCCCCGCCCCACCTTCTAAATACACACACACAGTCACACACACACACACACACACACAGTCAGACACAAACACACAGTCAGACACACACACAGTCAGACACACACACACAGTCAGACACAAACACACACACAGTCAGACACAACCACACAGTCAGACACACACACAGTCAGACACAAACACACACACACACACAGTCAGACACAAACACACAGTCAGACACACACACACACACACACACACAGTCAGACAGTCAGACACATACACACACACACACAGTCAGACACACACACACACAATCACTCACATTAACACTTTTTTATTTTTTATTTACCCCCCCCCAGCCTCCTTACCTTTGGGAGTGCTGGGGGGGGTCCTCTTTCTCCCTGGTGGTCCAGTGGTTTTATAGGTGACTGCTTCCAATTCTGGAGAGGTTATAAAGCTGAACTAGACAGATTTGCTGTATATCTGAACCAGGGCCATCCAAAGCTGGCATTCACCGCAATGGCCAGTGAAGACAGTGTTAACTTTCTAGATGTTACAGTGCAAAAAAATGCAAACAGGCTTTACCATGAATTGTTTTCAAAACCTACAGATTGAAATAACGTATTGCAGGCTGATAGTTTCCATCCTGTCAAACAGAAGCGGTCAAATCCATACAGTCACATCCTATGTTACATGTCAGACTTATTGTTAGTGATGAGTCACTGGAAGACGCGAGATTGGACTTTATTTCAATGAAGTTCAAGGAAAAAGGCTGTGGTCAGCAACTATTAGAACAGCCTACACTTAAAGTATATTGCATCCACTAAGACAAGCTCACGCATTCCCTTTGTGAGCACATTTTCGGTTATGTCAAGAAAATAATTTGCTCTAACTGGTTTATCCCGCATAGGGATTTTTTTTCACCAAGACAGGGATTTTGGCAATTTGTTTCGGGAAACCCTATCTGTGCACACAATCGTGCACCCAACATCAGAAATACGGTGGTTAAGGCTGAAATCATCCTGATTACCTCAGCAGTTGCTCCAGACTAAAAAAGTACATGACAGCTTTCCCTGCCTCAGTTGCAATCCCTGCCTCAGTTGCATTGAAGGTGACATTTGCACCCACTCTAGGGCTGGATAGAACATCCCATTACTTGGTTTCTCTGCATGTCTTATAGACTAAGTGGTCTATCTGCTGAAGTGCCCATGTGTTCTTGGATATGTGGGCAAGACCACCTTGGCACTAAAGGATAGAATATCTCAGCACAAGACTTCCATTAGGAACTTACACTCGGATAAGCCGGTGCAAGGCATTTCCTCGAAATGCACCACAATAAGTCACAAATATGCTGCCAATTTCTTGAACATGAGAACAAGTGAGTCGTGGTGTTAAAAGGGACAGAATTATTTTGCTAAAAGAGGTTAGATGGAGGTGCCTCCTGGATAGTTTCCCCCCATGGCCTCAATGAGATGCTGGGTGGCACTGGTTACTGTAAGTACTCTTCTGTGTGGGGCACACTCGGATGGTAAAGGTTTCCTGACTTGTATTTTGAACTGCTTTGGCTACATATAATATGTATTTTCTGTATTTTGTAATGTTCTTTGTTTATTTTTACCTTATTTATCAGACAGTGGTTAGTAAGCTTTGTGCCCTTTATGAGTCTACGGATCCGGGTCTCTTATTATATTTTTATTATTATTATTGCTATTTATAAAGCACCAACTAATTCCGCAGTGCTTTACAATATTATTGTTATTATTACAATTATACAGGAAAATTAGGTAGATGGGGCCCTGCTCAAATAGACATAGCTATCTACTTGTGCATACATAGCAAATTTTTTGGTAATCACATTTACTCTGCAAAATGTATTTATTTTGGAACGCACTTCTAATTTATTTGATTGCTTTCTAGCTGGCTCGCAGTCTGGATCCTTACACCATGCTCAGGGGATTGCATACATCTGTTGCTTAGTGATGGAACTCACTCCGACCATATTCCCGGATGACATCATCAGGTCTCGTAAGATCTCGGCTTGGAGCAATGGCACAAGAATCCAGAGCTGGAGAGACTGCTGTTCGGTGGGTGTAGAGTTTGAATAATGTGCATTACATATTTGTGTAAGTGCACTGGGTTTTTGTAATTCTTTTTTTTTGTGCAGCAACATAGTGTCGATATTTTACATCCACAGAAGACTAAGTCACGTTTAAAGTTGTCCAGCATACAATGCGAATAAGACAAGAAACTGCATCTTTTTTGGGGGGGGAATGTAAGAAATAAAGACAAGAGTAACTCAATGCATATAATTCGTCATATAGTTAAAATTAGAATAGGACATATGCACTGGATGCTTAGACATTAGAGTTAATCACGTGAGTAAGCAGATCAAAACAGTGGTAGTACCCCAGCAGGACCCCTCAATGCACAGGTAAGAAGCAAGACCCCAGGCAGTCAAGTCATTAGATGGAGGGAAGTATAGCAAAATAAAAGGTTAAAATAGGTGGCTTAAAACATAGACAGAACTAAAAAGTTACAAGAAAGCTTCAAAACTTTAATGAGTCTTCCACTACGAGTCTCCTTCTCTCCTAATCCTACACCCTTCAGGGGTAGGTCGCAGTTCAGCATTGATGAGGTGGACGTCCATTGAAATGTCCCATGCTGAGGTCAGTGTTGCAGGCTGCATAGGTATGTAAGTGGGGCCAGTGGCTGCATTCTTCGCCCTTCCGATATAGTAGAGCAGGGCCTGCTTGTGTGGAGGTTTGTTGATTTCTTCAGTACCCTAACGCGCCATCTATTTCCTGCATGGTCCGGATGTGGAGGCCTCCACTGTCATGGCTTACCTTAGTTGGAATCCGAAGTGCAGAGATGTATGCTCACCCTTACAGATAAACACAGCCCAGCATAACCAGGTAAGAAGCTATCTGGGCTGTGAATCTGTGCATGGGGGCTTAGGCAGGAACAGTAACTGGGTATGAGGAAACAAACAAGATCAAATCCAGAAGAGTAGTTAGGCACGGTATCAAAAAGATCAGGGCAGGCGGCAAACAGGCAATAATGCAGATTTCACAAGCAGGGGTCACAAGCCAAGTCAGTTGTCAGCAACAGGAAACATGAAACAATGAACTGATCCTGCTCTCAGGGAGAGGCAGTGTTATATAGGTGGATAACGAGAAATCTGCCTCAGGTGGACTTAGAGTGGTAGAAAGCAACCACAGGTGAAGTCTAGCCCCCACTGCTGCATACAATACCAAGTAAACAGGGCTAGAACCAGAAGTTCTGAAGTGGCAGGGAAGATGGCTTAGGATACAGAAGGACCTAGGTTCAATTCCCCTGTAAGGCACCTTTGGGTAGCTACGCCTAGCTGTCAGGATGGCACGATGAGAACCGTGACATCCACTAAATCCCAGCATAACAGTGGGATGGACTCGGGCATACCTGCAAAGTTGCTGCCAGGGTCGGTGATTCAACTTTGGGCAGCCACTGTCTCTTGATGATCCCTGTGTTGCTTCTAGGGGGTCCTTCCGGTGTTCCCTGCCCAAGTTAGCCTGTAGAAGATGCATGTGAGGGACCCGAAGGTGAGTAAGTAGTGCAAGCGAGCCTCCAGCTTCTCCTAAAAGGCATCAAAAATCATATTCAGGTGAAGCTCCACATCTGAGCTCATACTGCAAGGGTCAAGGGAGCAAACGTCATCCTCCATTTTGCAGGTAGCGCTTGTACTGGTCTCAAGTGTCAGCTGCGGTGCCGCACTCCCGACTATGCTGTGGGAGTACCTCCAGGGGACAAACCGGGGTAACCCAGACCGTTCCAGGGGAGGGAAGGATCGGGAGCACAGTGTCAGAATTTTGGCCATGGCAATGAGAGAGCGGCCGCCTCCCCAGCGCCAACCATGCTTGTAGGCCGCACTAGGCTGTCAGGTGGATCCTGCCTGATGGGCTGCATGTTTGGTTTCACCATGAGCATATAGGTGTCACCTCCAGCCTGATGGTCTGTGTAAGCAGATATCACAATGTTTTTCAATGATTTTTCATGAGTATTGTCGTGTAGAGCTGTACAAAATATCATCCAGTCAGGCCGGCGGTCAGACCCCGCCCCTGTGCACTGGGTTTTTATGGGTATTTATACATTGAAAAAGGGAAAGAGTCCTAAAACATCTCTTGGTTTATTTGTTCTTTAAATAAATGTGGGCTTTACTTGTGTGCCCTCTCTACAAAACGGCACATTGTGTTTCATACTTTTGCTGGTGAAACCACACTCCTAAATCTTATTTGTTTGTCAGTGTGTGTGTAAGTGTTTGTGTGTCAGTGTCCTCTGTGTGTAACTATTATGTGTGTATTTTATTTTCATTTTGTGAATTTTATACTTAAAATCAACAGTTCATTTATTCCTCCTTACATTCACAATATTAGAAACCTAGAATGTGGTGGGAGATAAGTCAATTTTCTAAATACTCTCATTAGTCCCTGGCCTTATCTTATAGCAAGGATAGCCTTATGCCTATCATAAACTCCTTCACTGTCTTAACCTCTACCACTTCAGCTAGAAGGATGTTCCATGCATCCACTGCCCTCTCGGTAAAGTAATATTTCCTGATATTATTTTTAAACATTTGCCCCTCACATTGTGTTATATTCGTTTGAAAAATATTATTGCAAAAAGGTAGAACTATTAAGAATCTAAATGTGTTACACATAATGCAACGCAAAAAATAAATAAAAACAATAATATATATATATATACACACACAGTGGAAAAGACTGTCAGAATTTATAAAACATGACAGAGATATATCCCAGTAAAAGATAGTTTGCAAAATCTCCTTCACAGTTTCTCCTTCACCTTCTCAATGCATCATGTGCTCTGTATGGACTCTTTACTTGGAAACACTGAACTTTCCTCATAGAGATGCATTGATTCCAGGGCTGTATTTGACTTTTGCTGGCTCTGCCCCTGATATGCCTCCTTGACAGTCTCAGCCAATCCTACGGGAAAGCTTTGTGATTGGGTTTTGATCAACACTTCTGATGATGTCAGCCAATCAGGCAGATCAGAGGCAGAGCCAGCAGCAGCAGCAGGCAGGAGCAAAGGTAAGATTATATTATATTATATTTAGGGTGGGCAAAGAGGAGCCATGGGGGCTAGATAGTGGTTTTAACACTAAAAGATTAAGGAATACATGTTTGTTTTCATGACCCTAGTGTTCTTTTCAAGGAATCCACTGTACACCATTACAATTTAATCTCATGATGTTGCTATGGTCCCTGGAATCCCCCTACCACATCGTACCTTTATATTGAAAATATAGTCACCAAAACAACTTTAGTTTAATGAGGCAGTATTGGTGTATAGATAATGCACTGTTCTATTCTCTGCCATTTAGGATTTAAATCAGTTGTTTATGCATCCCTAGTTACACCTCCCTGCATGTGACTTACACAGACTTCCTAAACATTTCTTGTAAAGAGTCATCTAATGTTTACACTTCCTTTATTGCAAATTCTGTTTAATTTAGCATTTCTTATCTCCTGCAATGTTAATAGCTCGTTAGACCCTGCAGGTGCCTCTTGTATGTAATTAAAGTTACATTAACAGAACAGGAGATACAAATGTTTAAATTAAGTTACATCTGATTGAAAATGAAACCATTTTGTTCACAGCCAGGGGAGGTGTGGCTAGGGCTGCATAAAGAGAAACAAAAGTGATTTAACTCCTTAATGGCAGTGAATTGAACAGTGAAATTTCAGAGGCACGATCTATACACAAAACCTGCTTCATTAAGCAAAAGTTGTTTGGGTGACCATAGTGTCCCTTCTCAGTGGTTTAAGATATGTTTCCAGGGACTGGTCTTCAGCTCCTCACTTCCTCCCCTTTTTGCTCTTGCAAATGCTTCCACATTAGACAGGAGCAAAAAGAGAGCTGTACATGGGAACACATCTGAATCGTTCTTAAATGGCTTAACACTTTCACTGGCATCAGTAATGGCTGGTGAATTTTAAAAATGATGGGGGGCTAGATTTTGGGGTGGAATTTGACACTTATTAGTTTTTAACTTTTTACCACACTAATGGATTTGATTTTTACAAAAATATTTTTTTTACAGCCTCCACTATTTGAGATGATAAGAGATGCCGGGGGCCTAAACAGCCACATAGTCTCTATAGTGTCAAGAATACATGTTTGTATTCCTGACACTATATAGTGTTCCTTTAAACTCAGAAAATGGGCTTTATAAGTACTGAAAACAGACGCCCCCCTTGTGGACATGCACCTGTAGTATAGCACCAGTAGTGGGAGATTGAGAGCATTTATTGTATTTTCTGTTGTATTACATAATCATTTTTACAGTGCTGCTACCCACCCCATGTATTCCCTATTAAGGGTTAATAAGTGTGTAGGGGTTCGGAAAAATACCCCTTTCTGTCTCATTAGAGATTTTACCTTTTAGCTGAAAACCGCAAGGTACTTTGTTAGTGTAGGACTCATCTAAGAGGTTTGCCTCGTTGTGGCAGGTGAGCTTACACTTTAATGGCCACTGGAGTGATACAAATAAACTCTTCTTTAAATGTGCATAGGGTTTTGGAAAAGAGCACAGGTAACTTTTTTTTTCTTTTGTTCTAATAATTTATGCAACTAATATGTATTTTAAAACAAGAACAATACATCTTAATTTTTATAAAAACCTTTTAAAATGTTATTGCATAGTTTAACAAAATTAGCATATACACATTTTTAAATATAACATTGTCCTCAAACATGATTCAGATTTTTAAAACAATAATTTTGCAGTCTGAGGTTATTGACATTTCTAAGTATTTCTACTATATTTTAAATACAGTATGCCATAAAGTAATAAAGACGGACATAATAGTTTTACCTTACATTCATAACATACATTCATAGTTACATAGCTGAAAAAAGACTTGCGTCCATCAAGTTCGGCCTTCCTTCTTCTTACTTACTTCATCTTCCCAGTATCGTTGAGGAGAGAGAGGAGGAAACGCGTTGCGCAATGCATCTTATTTAAATAAGAGTTGATTTTATAAGTATATGTATTGTAGTTTAAAGACAAATTAAACTGAGTAATATTGCATTTGAGCTCTGATATAAATTTAGACAAACCAGGAATACAGAGCTCCTACAAAAGAGGAATATTAGTTTAGAAAAAATGGATTTGGGCCCAAAATACAGACTGTCCCTCCCAAATAGTGACACTTTTACATTTTTCACGTGTAGGGGCAACCCCCACTTAGCTGCAGTTCTCACACGAGATGAATTAAATTCTTTAGTTAGCTGATTAAGTTAATAAATTTCGTACATAATAAAATAGATCCAATTCTTATTCTCATTCCTTCCCACTTCCTCGTTTAAACCCTCCTCCTATTTGTAGGCGTGGATTTAACTATTGCAAAAGGAATACGGAAAATACAGTTTAAATGATAATTTAAAAAAAAGATTATAGTAGCCAGATGACACATTTCAAAATCGAAACGAGCACACTTGAGTTGGAGTCATCTAAGAAGCTGGAGGTATTTATTAACATGTCTAATGGGGTGCGAGTTGCTGCTGGGTTTAAGGAAGTATTAGTGCCCTTGTTAGTAGATTGTTATTGTCGGATGTTTTCTATGGAGACTAGATTCAGCCCGGAATTATTCCCTAGTTCCTGCCGATCTTCAAATAGAACGATCGAACGTTCAGGTAGAACGGGGAAAAGGGGCCGATGTAACCCTTGCGGTACTGGACTGGGAGTTAGTAACGACCTTAGTTTCTAGGCCATCCAAATGCTGACAAGTTAAGAGTAAGGGTTAAAGATCACTGAGAGGAATAGGTAGGTTTGATTAACCCCTTCGAGACCAGAACTGGGAAAACCCCCCGTTATATATGAGTCAGTGCCTTATAGGAAATAAAAGGGTTTAGTTTCTTTTCTTTAGTATAAGCTTTTTTTCAGTAGGGGGGGCGTGGGTGAACATTGACATTGCCTAGTTTAGTTTCATTTGTAGAGTTTTGTTAGCTTTTAAATTTTTGGCATTGTTTGACCTGGAGTCACTCTCATGGATCCCCATAGAACAGAATGCTTTTAGAATGATCTTCAATTTGACCACAGTAATCCAATGCAGTTTCAGTATGAGACATGTAAATATTTGCGGTGTATTAGGAGGGTGGGAATGGGTATGCTATGCAGCATTTCCTCTAATGACGCTCTAATAATGTATAGAGCCTATGTATGTTTAGAGCCTTTAAATATATATCGAGTATGAAGTAATGTTCTTTGAACTACTATATATTTTTTTTATTTTGCATTAATTCCAAATATAAACTTGGAAAATAGTTGTTTACAACTTCCTGATCCTCTTTGTGTCTCTTAATTTGTAACGACCTTACATGCACACTCCCTTTGCTTACAGTTTGTAAATTATGGTGTGATATTATTATAACTTTTAGCACGGACGGTTTAACCCCAATGTCTGTGTTCCAGCACTGGATCGCTCTGCCCCCCTGTCCTTCCAGTCCAGGGATATTTCTTGACATCCCAATGGGCCAGTCTGACCCTGCTTAGAATGACAGATGGCATTCGGATCCTTGGGCACCTCCTCCTGCCTGTCATCCCTGTTGTTGCAACCGAATAGCCGGTGAGACCCAAGGCTTATGTCTTATGGTAGTGCTGGCCCTGAAAACATGTCACAAAAAATGAAAATAAATAGGAGAGCAGCAAAAAGAGGGCAGCACTTAGCCACAATTCTATGGAACTATTTTCGGCTATGGGACCATGCCTGCGGTCGGTAATAACTATGACTTTCATAAAACTTTTGAACCCCTGAACTGATCTGGGTGGTTTTTGGATATGTTGGTCACCCAGATCGGGGCTATCAGGGGATGTAACATTCGTGGGGTATTATGGCCATGTGTGGCTCCCATTAAACTGAGATTTGTTTACCCCTTCATGAAGTCTTGGCTCATGTTTTGGGGATTGGAGAACTACATTCACTCTGGGGATTGCTATATCACTCCTCCTTGTATAATCACTAGCTTGTATAAGAGCTATTCCTGCTACGCTCTCTAGACTAGGAGAGGTCTACCCACTGGAAGTTGGATCCTGGTCTTGGGTCCTCGGTGGGTGGAGGACGGTGAGACCCCAACCAAGCTGCGGCGGTTTGTGGGGTCTGCGGTGGTTATGGTGTTCCAGTACAGTGTACTAGGAAGCAGCGATTGACAGAGGTACCCGGTCGGGGTGCCAGGCGGTCCGTCATATATATAGCAGATCCTTGCACTCATGCTTATAATACCTTAATATGCCAGGTGAAGAAAGTCCGATGGGTGGACTGAAACATCGATCCTGATCGTTTAAACTTGTCAAATAAAGTATTGGATTTTATTGAAAGACCAGAGTGCAGCCACTTGTTTGGATATCTATATATATATATATATATATATATATATATATATATATATATATATTTTTTTTTTTGCGCAGTCATCCTGAGAGGACTCCTTAAAGGCTTACAGTACTTCAAACACCAAGACTAATTCAGTGATTTGAAGTAGTCATGGTGTCTGGAGTCTGTATGTGCAGTGCTTTGCTACACTACCACAAAACCTTTTTTATTGTGAAATTCTCAAAATATATTTACATACTTTCCAGCAATCCTGGATGTGGGCCCATATTCTGGCATCGCAAGTTGTTTCTCTTACGTTATGCTTTTCAACTCCACAAATTAATCCCTGTATGGCTCCACATAAGCACATCGGTACACAAAGTAAACTTGATGGATTTCTGACCTCATAAGTGAGTGCCTCAAAGACTACTTTGCACAGTATGCATGCCAGACCAACATTTTGGGGGCCCACTGTGAAACACATTCCTGCTAAAGACCCACCAACCCACCCAATCTGGTCCCAGTTGCAAATCTCCAAATACTAGGAGGTATGGTTGTCTGGAATTCTAAATTATCTTTCACTTTCTGGAAGTATATGTGCATTTTTCTATATTTTACTTTATGTACATGTGACCTCTTTGAGCAAATTAACAAGCCTTCTGCTCAGATCTGTATTCTTCATGGAGTGGAAAAGTTGTCTAGCCCTGCCTGCAAATTCATTGTCGCTGACTTTGTCTACCATGCTTCATAGTGATGTGTAGCGGAGAGCTAGTATTCCACAAGATATCTCCGCTCAAGATCCCAGTGAGGCTCAGGAACAAGTAGTTATGAATCCATAAAGCAAGGTTTCCAGCAGGTAAAATAATACAGCAATATCCCAACAGCAATCCCAATGACTGGACAACACACAGCATCAGGAGCAGAACTAAAAGCTTTATTCCAGCAGTGGCCTTTTAAAGCATGCTCCCATGCAAGGGAGGGGTTTAATAATCAATACAGTAGCCACTCACATCTTGGTAACCTCCCACACATCTCCTCCCATCAATATGACTCATAATCCCCTTACACAGTACAGTAATTCCCCACATTCCTGGATGTACCCCTAAACCTAGGGGTATCCCTTTAAGTGTTACATCCCCTGGTAGCCCCGATCTGGGTGAGCAACATATCCAAAAATCACCCAGATCGGACCAAGGGTTCGGGAAATTTATGGAAGTGAAGAAAAGACCGACCGCTCTGAATCGAATAGCCGAATCCAGTTCCATGGGATGGGGCCTTGCGGTCGGTCACTGTATAAGGGAATAAAAGACACGAATTCTGCCAGTTATAGAGATTAGAGAGGATTCGCATGAATCCCCTCGTTCAGTTGTTCCTTCCTACCGAACGAGGGCTAATTCGGTAGTTTAAAAGCGAATGTACGGTGCGTATGGAGGTCTCAGCGGTGTTCGCCTAGCCGAGTGTCCGTTTTGAGTTCCAGACACTCGACGGCAAAACACCGCTGTTCGGGAGTTTAAAATGGACGCCGCCACGTGTTTGTTTCCCGAATGGCGGCCACCCCGAGAACAAAGACGGTGCCAATTACCCGTTCGCAACTTTGTTGCAATTGGTAATTGGAGGCACACTTCACACTGGGGAGGTCTGGTTGTTCGGTAGTTTCATTCTCCTAATTGCTGAAATGATTATACCGAACAACCAGACGAATACAGTCTATTTTACACATACAATATTACAATTCACACGAATACACCAAACACATGAATTTTCTAGGACAGCCCTGTGTCCTCCGCTACACTGCTCCCCGTTACCCACAAGCCGGCATACACAGTCTGATCCCACACGGATCGGCTTGGGGATGTCCGGGGATGCTCACGGATCATTTCTCCAGGTCTGTTTGTCTTGACAACCCGTCAGCGTTCCCATTTTGTTTGCCCGGGCGGTACTGGATATTAAAGTCAAAGGGCTGCAGCGCCAAACTCCAGCGCAGCAGCCTGGCATTGTGCCCAGCCACCCGGTTCAGCCATACTAACGGGTTGTGATCCGTGAGCAACGAAAAGGGCTGTCCATACAAATACGGCTGCAGCTTCTTTAGGGCCCACACCACAGCCAGGCATTCCTTCTCGATGGCGGCGTAGCTTACTTCTCTGGGTATTAACTTGCGGCTGATGTAAGCCACGGGGTGTTCTCCGCCATCGGCCCCGACTTGGTTCAGCACTGCCCCCAATCCAAACATAGAAGCGTCTGTGTGGACAAGAAAACGTTTAGTCGGATTGGGAGCTGCCAAGACGGGGGCATTGATAAGTGCATTTTTCAGATGTTGGAATGCCTGTTCACACTCTGGGGTCCAGGTTACCTGGCGGGAAAGGTTTTTACGGGTCAGGTCAGTGAGGGGCCTGGCCAGGGCACTGTAATTGGGAACAAACTTTCTATAATACCCGGCCGTCCCTAGAAACGCTAGCACTTGGGTCTTGGTCCTGGGGGTGGGCCACTGGGCTACGGCCTCTACTTTAGCTGGCTCTGGCTTCTGCTGACCACAGCCTACCCTATGACCCAGGTACTGCACCTCGGCCATTCCTATGCTGCACTTGGCCGGTTTTAAAGTTAAACCAGCCTCCCTAATCCGGTCTAGGACCGCTCCCATATGGGCTAAATGCTCCTGCCACGTATTGCTAAAGATAGCAATATCGTCCAGGTAGGCACAGGTGTAATCCAGGAGTCGGTCTACCATCCGCTGGAAGGTAGCTGGGGCGTTTTTCATCCCAAATGGCATGACCTTAAACTGGTACAAGCCAAATGGGGTGACAAAGGCCGACTTGGGAATGGCATCTGGGGCCAGGGGAATTTGCCAATATCCCTTGCACAAGTCAATCGTGGTGAGATATTGGCCCCTGGCCATCCTGTCCAGTAATTCGTCTATCCTCGGCATAGGATATGCGTCGGACACAGTCTTCTCGTTCAACCTCCTGAAATCCACACAGAAGCGTGTGTACCATCCCGCTTCGGTACGAGCACTACAGGAGAAGCCCAGGGACTGTCCGAGGGCTCGATCACCCCTAGGTGGAGCATCTCGTCGATCTCCTTGCGCATATTCTCCCTCACCGCTTCTGGGATGCGGTAGGGGGTCTGACGCATGGGGAGTTGCCCTGGGGTCTCTACTCGGTGAGTGGCCAGAGGAGTGTATCCAGGTACATTAGAGAACGTGTCTCGTTTCTCTTCCAGCAGCTGTTGTATCTCGATACGCTCCTGTGGGCTCAGTCTGTCCCCCAGTGCAACCTCCCCTAAATCTCCCGACAACTGACCATCTCCCAGTAGGTCTGGGAGAGGTAAGCTGTCGAACTCGTCTGAGTTGGGTGCACATATGGCTGTCACCTCCTCGGAGCGCTCCTGATAGGGCTTCATCATGTTGACATGGAGCATGCGTCGCCCTCCAGGTCCTGTGCAGGGACCGATTTATATAGGTGGTATCACATCTTTGTTCTACCACCTTATATGGTCCCTGCCAGGCGGCCTGCAACTTGTCATGTCGGACAGGTTTTAATATTAATACTTTCTGTCCGACCTGAAAGCTACGGTCTCTGGCCCCTCGATCATACCATGTGCGCTGGCGAGTTTGAGCCGCCTCCAGATTCTCTTTCACGGTCCGGGTTAATGCTTCCAGGCGGTCTCTGAATGCCAACACATATGGTATGATGGGAGTGCCATCTGCGCTCCGGTCTCCCTCCCAATGTTCCCTAATGAGATCTAGAGGCCCTCTTACCCTCCTTCCAAATAATAGTTCAAACGGGGAGAACCCTGCGGACTCCTGGGGCACCTCCCGATAAGCGAATAGGAGGTGCGGCAAGAATCTCTCCCAGTCCTTGTGGGTCTCTGCGAATGTTCGGAGCATCTGTTTCAATGTACCATTGAACCGTTCGCAGAGCCCATTAGTCTGGGGATGGTAAGGAGCACTGATAAAAGGCTTAATGCCGCAGATCCTCCAGAGGTGTTGGGTGACTTCGGCGGTAAATTGGGTACCCTGATCCGAGATAATTTCTCAGGGTAACCCCATTCGGGAAAAGATCTGCATGAGGGCATCCGCGACCGTTTCTGTGTGGATGTTGGTCAGAGCCACCGCCTCTGGATATCTCGTGGCATAATCTACTACTGTCAAAATATATATTTTCCCTGACGGGCTAGCTTTCTTCAGGGGACCCACTAAGTCCACTGCTACCCTGCTGAAGAGTTCCTCAGTTATAGGTAGGGGATGCAGCTTTGCCTTTCTTTTGTCTCCCCTTTTTCCTACCCTCTGGCAAGTATCGCATGTGCTGCAATACCTGCGTACCTCCTGACTGATCCCTGGCCAGAAGAAGCTTTGGGTTAGTCGATATCTCGTCCGACTGACTCCTAAGTGTCCGGATAGCGGAATATCATGCGCTATCCGGAGTAACTCTGCTCGGTACCGCTGGGGTACCACTAACTGCCTCATCACTATGGGGTCTGCCCCCTCTATCTGTTTTTCTGTCTCCCTGTATAGGAGCTGTTTGTCCCAGACAAATTTCTCTCCCTCCCCCCCAGATGAGTCAGTGACAACCTTGTCCCTATAAACCTGCAGTGTAGGGTCGGGGATTATTTCGGCCGCAAATTCGTTAGGGGGGGCCCAGGGGACACATTCTAAGGAAGGGGAAGGGTCTCTTACCTGAACCTCCGGGAGTGTGTTGTAGTCCTGGGTGTGGGCCTGCTGTTGGGTGACCACAGGATGCGCTTCTCCTGTGGTTGGTATCTGGGGCTCATAAGCCGACGTGAGCCTCCCCAGATCGTTCCCCAACAAAACCTCCGCTGGTAATTGCGGCATCAACCCCACTTCCACGTGTCCTGACCCCGCTCCCCAATGCAAATGTACCCTTGCTGTAGGTAGCCGGTATACTGCTCCCCCGGCTACCCTGACGGCTACAGTTTTGCTGAGCTTAGCCTGGTCTGAGACCAGGTGACTTTTCACCAGGGTTATCGTGGCTTCCGAGTCCCTTAGCCCTTGGACTGCTTTCCCCTCCAAGTACACAGTCTGTCGATGGTGTTGACGGTTATCCGCGTTGGCCTGCACTGGATCGGCTTCATGAAGAACTTCCCACTGTTCGATTGTTGTGATACGGACTGCCGCGCCGTGTGCGGTTGTGCCTTCCCCTTGATAACAGTGGGCAGCTGCTCTCTGCGGTGGTGGGGGTCCTGGCCGGATCCAGGTGGACCAGTCTTTGAGCTGTGGGCACTCTCGCTTGTAATGCCCCCACTTCTGGCAGTGATGGCATTGCACAGAGCTGGATGGACGAAATCTCGGTGCAGCAGTTGTTGGTGGTAGTGGAAGTTGTCGTGGTGGGGGTATTATGTTGTTGGGGTAGCCCCCCCTTCCGACTGGCCTTACCGCTGCTTTGATTACTACTGGTATGTGTTGCCTTCTCACATCCATGTAATCATCTGCCTTTTTAGCTGCGTCGGTAATAGAAGTGGGGTTACGATCCCTCACCCACTCCTGCAAGTCGGCAGGTATCCCGTCGTAAAATTGTACTAGTAGCAGCATTTGTAATAGGTCCTCCATGGACCATGCCTGGTTCGCTTGCACCCATCCGAGGGCTGCCCGTTGTAATCGGCAGGCCCATTCTGCATGCAAATCTATGTCTGCCTTTTTCAATTCCCTAAAGCGTCTCCGGTACGCTTCTGGGGTAATAGCATATCGGGCCAAAATAACTTCTTTTACCCGGCTATAGTTTCTGATTTCCGTATCTGGTATGGTACTGTAGGCTTCAGCAGCTCTCCCTGTCAACCGTCCTGCCAGGATGGGGACCCAATCCTCCTTATTTATTTTATGCAGCATACACAGTCTCTCAAAGTCCTGGAGGAATGCATCTATATCCTCTTCGGTTTCCACATACGTTTTAAATGCTTGATAAGGAATTTTTGTCTTACACTCTTGTATTGTGGACACCACTGTGTTTCTCTCTGGTGTTTGTGGCCCTCTTTGCCGCATTATAAACTCCTGGACCTCCGTCATTGTCTTGGAGATTATTTCCATCGGTGGGTTCTCCCCATAAAATGCCAGTCTAAATTGGAGCTGTTTTTGGAACTCGTCTTGCTCTGTTCCCTCTCTTGCCTCCCTCTGTTCGGTGACCGAATTCTCCTCTGTTCGGTATTCTGCCATTATTTCTGAAATAAGCGTTGCTTTCGTTTTGTTGCTGGCTGAAATACCCCTTGCTTCCAGAAGGTCTTTCAGTGTGGATCTCTTTAATGTGGAGTACTCAATCTCCATCAATCCTTGTTCCTTTGTGAGTCTGGATCCCAGCGCTGCCAACCAATGTAGCGGAGAGCTAGTATTCCACAAGATATCTCCGCTCAAGATCCCAGTGAGGCTCAGGAACAAGTAGTTATAAATCCATAAAGCAAGGTTTCCAGCAGGTAAAATAATACAGCAATATCCCAACAGCAATCCCAATGACTGGACGACACACAGCATCAGGAGCAGAACTAAAAGCTTTATTCCAGCAGTGGCCTTTTAAAGCATGCTCCCATGCAAGGGAGGGGTTTGCAATAATCAATACAGTAGCTACTCACATCACGGTAACCTCCCACACATCTCCTCCCATCAATATGACTCATAATCCCCTTAAACAGTACAGTAATTACCCACATTCCTGGATGTACCCCTAAACCTAGGGGTATCCCTTTAAGTGTTACATCCCCTGGTAGCCCCGATCTGGGTGAGCAACATATCCAAAAATCACCCAGATCGGACCAGGGGTTCTGGAAATTTATGGAAGTGAAGAAAAGACAGACCGCTCTGAATCGAATAGCCGAATCCAGTTCCATGCGATGGGGCCTTGCGGTTGGTCATTGTATAAGGGAATAAAAGACACAAATTCTGCCAGTTATAGAGATTAGAGAGGGTTCGCTTGAATCCCCTCGTTCGGTTGTTCCTTCCTACCGAACGAGGGCTAATTCGGTAGTTTAAAAGTGAATGTACCGTGCGTATGGAGGTCTCAGCGGTGTTCTCCTAGCCGAGTGTCCGTTTTGAGTTCCAGACACTCGACGGCAAAACACTGCCATTCGGGAGTTTAAAATGGCCGCCGCCACGTGTTCGTTTCCCGAATGGCGGCCACCCCGAGAACAAAGACCTCCTGCACAGCTTGCCAATTACCCGTTCGCAACTTTGTTGCAATTGGTAATTGGAGGCACACTTCGGAGGTCTGGTTGTTCGGTAGTTTCATTCTCCTAATTGCTGAAATGATTATACCGAACAACCAGACGAATACAGTCTATTTTACACATACAATATTACAATTCACACGAATACACCAAACACATGAATTTTCTAGGACAGCCCTGTGTCCTCCGCTACATGAAGTTTACAGGTTCCATATAAGGAATAAAACAATAGACCTTAACATATTCATGTTATATCCACTTCCAAACAAAATTGTTTTACTATCTTAAACAATTGTAAAAAGAAAAGTCTCCTTAGTGAAATCTAAAAACATTTCCAAGTCTTGAATATGCGATAGTAGTCTATTTGAGTCTTTATTCCTTGAACATATCACATGCATGCTTTGTTTACAAGAGTATTAAATAAATAATGAAACCCATACAAGTTTCCTGTTATTTGGAACTTATCTGCAGTAATAACATCTAATGCTATCTCTCTGTTAGTTGCTTCAGTAACTAAGGAAATATTTGACAAAGGTAAGGATGGACTACAATGATGGTGGAAACAGAGTGTTAGAATTGCATTCCATGTGATTCCAAAGCGGCAGCCATAAACAACTCTCATTCTCCTAATTATCAAGAGTAATAGGAGATCTCAAAGACACCGTAAAATCCTTTAATCTTCTAATGGGTCGCTACATGAAGAGAATTATAAAAGATAGCGACTATGCGGTGTTTAGAATAGATATGTGTCATTTGAATTATTTGTCCAATGTATACCAACTATGCATTGCCTGTTCAGTGCCCTTTTTAACTTTGATAATGATTTGATCCATTCGCAAATGTGAAAATTTATTTATTTATGGAAAAGAAAATGCTCTCATGACCAGTGTCCAGGGAAGTTAAAGGGACAAACTAGGCAGTGCACCTGACCGGCGGCACTCTGCGCTTCCTGAATCTTACATTTCAGAACCCGGATGTCACCTGGGGGGAGTGGAAACTGCTGCTGGATGCAATTTTGATGTTCAAACCGTTTGAGATTGGTTTACCCCTTGAGGTAAGAGTTCCCATATGGGCCTCCTAGCACCATAACAACTTAATTTAGATGAATTTGTTTTGGTGCCTGAAGTGTCCCTTTAATCGTATTCCACATCTCTATCCATTTCTTCTTCTCTGAGTAGAAAGCTCTCATTCTTTCTCTCGGCGCTGAATGTGATAGTATACCTGAAGTATTGATGGCACTCAGTACAGTTCGGAAGCTACAATGCCTCCATCAGACAAGTTAGCATATGTTATCTATGTATAGCAGCACAGTTGCTAGCAATTTATAGATTAGATTTTACATTCTCTTGATGTTTCTTGTGATCAATCTCAAAATACTTCTACCGTGGCTGCAGCTTTAAAGTGTGCATGTCATGGTGCACACAACTTGATCTTTAATTAAAGTACACCCAGGTGGCATGTTTTAATGCTTGCTATGGGAGAATAGGACTCCGTGATGCAGGTGCGCTGACAGTCCAGTCAGCAAGTCCGCTTCATTAGTGAGGGTTGCCCTACTGGCCACCAAGGGAGGTGTAACCCGATTGAGGCAGTAAATTATTGGTATACCAAATAATATGCAAGGACACACTGAGGTTGCAGCTCTGGAGAGAGGGGCAGCAGGTAAGTACTAATAAAATCGCTCCCAGTGGTTGGGCAAAATATTGGAGAAATGCTGTGGCTGACAGTATTGATTCTGGTGCCAGCAGTGGTTTTGCATCCCTTTGTAGAGAGTCAAAGCATTTGTTAGTGACTTGAACACTTTCCTTTGGTCTGCATCTCTCTGTTGTCGGTAGTGGAGGGGGGAGTGTCACCCGTTGGACCCCAGATTAGACGTCAAGTCATAACAAATTGGTTTGACTCCTAGCAATGTTAGGGTGCCTGGGCATGGGAGGTGGAGAGCACCTGCAAGTTGTAGTAATTGTGGTGCTTGGAGTGTTTCTTTGAAAATCTGTATTTTAAGGGTGTCACACCTACCTCTTTTTCTGCCTGTTACCAACAGACAAATGCAGACATAGAGTAAGTGAAAAATCACTACAACAAGGAATTAGGTTGACTTTGGGCAGAGGTTCCCCTTCTCTCTCAACTTGTCTCCATCTCCCAGCAAGGCAGTCTACCTCAGGAAAGTACTGATGAGTAGAAATGGCCTGAAATATTGTCTAGGTGTACTTGATGTGCTCACTCTTTTGGGGGGCTTTTCTCCGAGTCTTCCAAAAGTGACACACTAGATAAACGACCCACGACAACAAGATCAATAAGGAGAATTGGAAATGTCATGCCACACCCTGGCAGCTGGTAGTTATCATGTCACACTTCATTTTTCCAGCCCTGTGTTTAAGAGCTTTTCTGGGGAGCTCCCACCCTACCTGAGCAGAATGCTGTTCCCACCTCCTATAACCTCTGATCCAGTACCAGCACTTTATTTAGCATACCTCAATACAAAAAGAAAGTAGCTCAATCCTCATTTTCCTACCGAGCACAGCAATTATGGAATAACCTCAGGGACACAGTCAAATCTTCAATCAATCTAAAATCCTTTAAGAGACCTATGGCAATATACCTCAATACAGAATGCACCTGTCATGGTTGATATTGTATTTTTTGTAATATTGTATCCTTTATTTTTATTTTGCAAATATCTTTTTATTAAATATTCACTATAGCATAATAAAACATGTTAAACAGTGAGACTCACAGGTTTCAGAAAAGGAGACGAGAGAGGGAAAGGAAGGGGAGGGGGGTAATGCTAACTTTTAATATCAACTGTAAAAAGCTAAGGAACCTTGACAATTTTAAAAGCAACCAAGTAAATAACTATAAATCCTCGTTGGCAAGTGAACTAATTTCTTCATGGAAAGCACCTGTTAGTTAGATGGGTACAGTTTAATAGATTAATGTTTGTCTTTTGTGTATTTTTTTCAAAAATCCCAGTGAAGTCACAAATATTTTTTCTTTTCTTGTTATTTAATGTGGGAATGTCCACTGTATAAGGCATGCATTCTCACCTATTACGAGAAAATTGAATTGTGTGGGTTAATATTTTTCTCTCTTGAACTACCTTAAAATAAGGTCATTTGAATAATAGTTGCACTTTCCGAGTGAGTAAGTCAGTTCTGTGTTTTATAGTCAACTCTTCAACGTCTAGTTTTTAAGCCTGAACTAGTTGTCTTGTGTTCTATGCTACATAGGAGCCTTGCTTTTTATTGCATTATTATTTGAAGATCGGATGATCGTTCTGCTGAGATTTACGGTAGAATGTTTTTGGTCCATGACTGATGCTTCTAATGTCAGGTATCTTTGCTGTTTGGCATCCTTTTGAATTTTGAAGATTCTAAGCCGTTGAAAAGACTTTGTATCGTGTCTGTTTATAACTTAGCTCTCGTCATCTTTAAATATAAACTCAAAGGGGCAATTACTAAAGTGAGGATTGGTGAGCATTCATTCAGGTGAATAAAGTCAGTGTAGTCAAATGGGAAGCATAATTGATTTGGTAAATTTTTTCCAGTGCGACTATTTTAGCCTTGATTTTTAAAATTCACTTAGCATTCCCTGTATAATACCTTGAGAGTAAATAAGATATTTTAAGAATAGTTTTGGAAACCAATGTTAATGCTATTTTATAGTAATAATGTAACATGCTATATGCTTAATTTACCTGAAATATCCTAACGGTGGCAATAGAATGTTATTACTTTATGCTATGTATATTATGTGTATTATAGTATATAGTAACATATGTTGATCAGTTTGGTAACTAATTAATCGGAAACCCACACAGCTGTTTTTATGTATGTACTATATGGTATTTTGCAGCATTCCCTATCAGACCTATATTAAATGTATTGTTGTAGAAGCATAGAATGTGACAGCATATAAAAGTCTAGGATAGCCTTATGCCTATCCCACGCATGCTTAAACTCCTTCCCTGTTTTAAACTCTACCACTTCAGCTGGAAGGCTATTCCATGCGTCCACTACCCTCTCAGTAAAGTAATACTTACTGAAATTGTTTTTAAACCTTTGCTTCTCTAATTTAAGACTATGTCCTCTTATTGTGGTAGTTTGTCTTCTTTTAAATATAGTGTCGCCTCCTTTTACTGTGTTGATTCCCTTTATATATTTAAATGTTTCTATCATATTCCCCCCTTATGATTTAAGGATTACCAATTTAGTTTGGTTGGACCTTTAGATGGCTTTGAATTTAAGAAAGTATTGAAGTATGAATGAATATTTACAGGAAAGGAATGAAATCAATACAATATTTATGCACTAAATTTCAAATTTTGGCAAACTGAACAATGAAATAAAGTTTATGCAATGATAGGCAAGCTAAAAAATCAAGCTGAATTGGGCAGTTTTTCCAAATTTTCTTTTGTTTCACCGATTCTGCAATCCACCTATTCAGGCTTTAGTGAATACATTCCCTATAAGTGTTGGATGCACAGCTAGCTCTGTAAATATTCTAGATTTCTTTATCATAGGTTGGTTCTATGTAATGTGTTTGTTTAAAGTAACCTCCATGGAACTGATAACAAATCGAATCAGTTAGATCACAAAAAAAGTGTTTGTGTGTGTGTGTGTGTGTGTGTGTGTGTATATTTAAATAAATTAAATGATCGTTCTGTCTGAGTGGCTTCTATTTGGGTATATTCTGGATATACATTACATTGAATTCTGGAAACACATCAAGGGTACACTCCACCGCAATAGGTAATCCATGCATATATTCACTAGCAATTTTGCCAGCACAATGTATTCATAAAATGTGCTGAATTTGCGTGACAGGTGCCAAATCCAGTATGTGATGGTCCAGTAAAAGTGGGCTGGATCCGGCTTTAAGTTAATATTTCATTAACATCATTATAAATGTAAAATAGATGCTGGTCTTTTTAAAAACCAAACTGAAATTTTTTCAATTAAATAACTGCTTAACACAACCCAAGATAGAAAGAGCTCTGTAGGTTTCCCCAACTTAACATTTTTACTGTAAATATTATTTTCTACAACCTTCACGTTTGACACTCAACGTTAGAACTAATGCTTTTGTTTTAGCAGATTATCTATTACAGTCTAAAGATCTATGTAATAATATAATCTGATTCTGTAGATAAAGCATAGGACACGTGGAAGCACACACAGCATTCTTAATAATATGAGAACAGCAGGGCAGAGTTCAAACAGTTATTCAAAGTTAAAGGGATGTTCTGGGCACCATAACTACTTTGTTTCAATCACTGGGTCCCCTGTGCTCACAATTTCACTGCTGCTTGAGCAAATGCGTCTACATTTGCAAGTGGGTCCAGAGTGTAAGTCGGACTGGCGACTGGGGGACTCCTGTGTCAGGGACTCCAAGCATCATAGCCAATTCTATGACATGAAGTGGTTAGAGAGGAGACACTGAAGGGGGAAGCTAATTACGTTTTGTTAACACATTGGGCACACTGACAGTAGATGCCATTTGTGCACAGGATTTGTATAAGTCATGTGTGCCGGGGATTACCTATCTCCCTGCTCAAAATTGCAAATATCTCGGTATGTGCCATGTTTCAAGGAGAAACGCTGCACATACAGACTCCTACCTTTATGACCACTTCTAATAACCTTTTAATAGATGAACTAGTTTAAAATCAAACTTCTATATGACAAGGTATACTTTGGGGAAAGTTTGTTCTGGGTACATCATTTCTAAAAATTAAATATGTTTAAACAATTCTCCCAGAATGCGTTGTTGGCTATGCAAATGAGCACAGACAGGCATCATGTCTGTTCAGGCTTAATACCGGGTTTCTGCAGGCACCCTTGGCAATGGGGCGCTGTTTGAAACACAACTTTTTAAACCGAATCAGGGCTTGTGATCCAAACGGACCAAGGTCCAAAAACAACCATACTGCAGAAATGCAGGATAGATTCTAAAACCCGATAGAAGTAAATTTAGAATTTACGTCTATCAGTGGAGAAAGACAGCTGTATCATGTTTTAATCCTTAGATGGACTATGAATTGTTGTGTACTGTACTGTTAATAATTTGCGTTCTTTTTTTCTTTTATTTATTTTTGTACAGATGCCTTCAAGGACCTTACTTGCCCCTCAGAGCCTATACATCAGTAACTTCAAAACACCTGCTAATCCTGGGATGAATACACAGCTGTCTTTTTCTAACAAAGACCTCCTGCTCATTGAAGAGGAGTTGGGCCCCCAAGAAGTTGAAGAGATACTTTTTTTGTGCATGGATTTTGCTCTGCACTCATCTGTACGAGAACTTTTAAGTGACCTAAATGAGAGGTCTATGCTTCTACCTAGTGGGTTAGCTGAATTGTTATCCGTCATAAAAAGGTTTGATTTACTGAAAAGGTACCTGAATCTGTCAAGCGCAGGCGTTAAAATCTTGCTGGCGTCAAATTCCAGGATTCTTTCAGAATACAGGTAAGTGTGTGTGGCTAATTAGAATTCTTCTCGATATTTTTCTTGATACATGATCAAAGATCAAAAAAGCAAGTTATTCTGACATAACTGATTCATTTTGAGAGTGTTTGAGAAATACTTCAAGTAGCAATCTTTACAAGGGCTAGTCCCTTTTATTTGACTCGGTATTTCTACATGTTCTGTCACCTGGCAGTAGCTAGAAAAGGGACTTCTCTGCAAATGAAACCATGATTAAAACATTGAATACACATATAATGTGTTAACCTCTTTTTCATGTGCTGATCCATTTTCTTTTCAATGTATATTAACAAATTCACCATTTAACATCACAGTCCAGGCCAAGCCAATGCCAGGCAGAACACACATTGCATTAGAAACAGGAGTAATGGTAGCATCAGGGATATTTCTCAATGGGTTTTGAAAAGTGATGGTAAAATGTCATTATTTATTTTGACATTCTTTATTTTTGGTGCAATTCACAGGTATATCACATGGGTGCAAAGTAAAAAGGCATGTTAGATCGATGAATAGACTGGCACGTGGTTATATATAGCATGAGGGGGGTAATCAGATAGATATTAATAATCTGTGTCTTGGTCAAACTGAGTAAATCTTTTGACAGAACATAGCTATGCAAACTATACTGCTTGGGCTGCTCGCCCTTTCGATAGAATATATCATAGAAAAATAGCCTAAAACGAAAAAGATGTATGGCTGCTTCCAACACTGTGATACGTGCTTAAGTGGGTGCACTGTACTTTACGTCCATATTGTGTCATTAAGCGTAAGACAAGCTTCTGAAGCTGTTATCGCCGATATTGAGGCTCATCCAGGGCTTGTCTGCTTTCTGTTTTTTGGTCTTTCAACCCATTTTGTGTTTTCCACCCGTCTCATGCACAGCCAGTTGCCCAGATTACGGTTAGTCGCTTTTGTTTTCGGGTAAATAGATACAGGCTTTCAGAGCTCTGAAAATGTCATTATTTTAATCATATTTACCAGACTTGAGCATTAATACTTTTTAGCTGGTACAAACTAATAAGATTCTTTTTATCTACGGTAAATTGTCCAAACAAATCGATCCATCCAGGATTCATCTGTTGAGTTTTCTTTAATGAATAAGACTACAAGGTAAATCCTGGATGGACTGATTTGTTCAGTCATAGATTAAAAGATATATTCTTCTGAAATAATTTTCCAGTTGAAAAGCACAGTTAATACAAATGAAAAGATTTGGGACATTTAACCCCTTAAAGACACAGCTTCAGAAGCTTGTCTTATGCTTAAAGGATCACTATAGTGCCAGGAAAACATACTTGTTTTCTTGGCACTATAGTGCCCCCACCCTCAGGGACCCCCTCCCGCCGGGCTCTGGGGAGAGGAAGGGGTTAAATTCTTACCTTTCTCCAGCGCCGGGCGGGGAGCTTTCCTCCTCCTCTCCTTCTTCCTAGTGACGTCATCGGCTGAATGCGCATGCGCGGCAGGAGCCGCGCGCGCATTCAGCCTGTCTCATAGGAAAGCATTTACAATGCTTTCCTATGGACGCTGGCGTCTTCTCACTGTGATTTTCACAGTGAAAAGCACGCAAGCGCCTCTAGCAGCTGTTAATGAGACAGCCACTAGAGGCTTTAGAGGCTGGATTAACCCTCAGTGTAAACATAGCAGTTTCTCTGAAACTGCTATGTTTATAAAAAAAAAAAAAGGGTTAATCCTAGTTGGACCAGGCACCCAGACCACTTCATTAAGCTGAAGTGGTCTGGGTGCCTATAGTGGTCATTTTAATGACACAAGCAATTTTTGAATTTTTTTGCTGTTTGTGTTCAACTGCAATTTGCATCTCTCTCGTTTATTGCACCGCCACGTATTATATGCTGTTTTTTAAAGGACACAAAGGGCTTTAATTTAATGTAACATCTATATATCCCCCAACACCCAGGTCGTCGACCGTAATAGGCCGCAAGCTGTAGCACTGTGTGCTGCCATCGGGTCACCCAGATTCAAGCTTAGGGAGTAGTTTAGGGTGACCTTCTGGTTGCCTAGGGTCGGTTTTCTCCAGGTTTGCCTTAGTTTTTCAGGCAGTTTAGTTTAGTGTAGCAGGAGCTTGTGACAAATGCGTCTAGCCATCTTGGCTGTCAGGCCCCGCCCCAAACTTTATTTTTTTAACAGGGAAGCAGATCACTGATTCGTCTCCCTGCACTTCACACAGAACCCGGAAGTGCAGGGAGGCGGAAGGTAAGTAAGTATAGCCTGTCAGAGCGAGCACCGCTGCAGGGGCAGCCCGATCGGGTGCTCCCGGTTTGCTTCTAATACAGAGGCAGACCGGAGCACCGTTAACCCCGCAATCGCCACAATTGCGGCGATCTGGGGTTAATTTTAACGCGACAAGGTGCGTCACCCGTCGTTAAGGGTCTCCCCTGGATGACGGACCTCGTCCATCACCCGTCCTGAAGGGGTTAATAAATAGCGCCAAACGCTTGTCAAGCTTTAGATGTGAAAAGTGGCAGTGAACCCTTCCTCAACAAAATCCGCAGCAACGAGGAGATCCACGGATTGCAAATAGGCCAAACGCACCACAAAGTGTTGGCCTATGCGGACGATCTTCTTTTCCTAGTCCAAGAACCCACCAGATCACTACAGGAAATCAAACAGGAATTTGAGACCTATGGCAGGATATCCAACATGCGCATCAACGACACCAAATCGGAAATTCTAGGCCTAACAATCCGATACCCGCAACAACTCGAACTTCGGCAACGCTTTCCATACCGATGGTGCACGACCAAGATGAGATACCTGGGGATATGGCTCACGCAAGACACAACGGACCTCTACTCTCACAATTACCTACCGCTTCTGCGAACAGCACAGGCCGAACTCCAAGCATGGAGTACAACATACATCTCTTGGCTGGGACGTATAAACGCGGTAAAAATGACCCTGCTACCCAGGTTCCTATTTATCTTCCAAACGGTACCCATAGAGGCGCCAAAGTCATTCTTCACCACCGCCCAAGCCATAATCCGTAATTTCATTTGGAAAGGGAAGCCCCCCCGAATCGCCCACACTCAGCTAACCCTCCCCAAACTCAAAGGGGGCCTGGCTCTCCCAGACCTGCGGAAATACCACCTAGCGACACACCTCACTCGAATAATCAACTGGTCAGTAAAGACCAGGGACAAACCCTGGGTACACCTGGAGGCAGATGCCACCAAATGCGACCTCACGACCCTCCCATGGATCATGAAAGAAGCCACCAAACAACTACCGCACGCCAACCCATTCGTGAAAGCCACCCTACGCATCTGGCACCAGACTGGCCCCAAACACTATCTTACGACCAACCCCGGCCCGCTACTTCCCTTAAAAGGCAACCCGGACTTCCCGGCGGGCGGCATGGGCCCAAATGCGCGCCCAGTAACCGGCAACACGACTCTCCGAATGGTGGATATCATTTCACCCCCATTCACAATCAGGCCGCTAGAGGCCATCTTCCCGGACCAGAGACACACATTCGCTCACAAGCTGGCGAGGGAACAAATGTCCCACTATGCACACTCCATCCCCCAGCGCCCATACTTGACAAGAGATTGCACAGAGTTTGAGACCCTGTGCAGACAGGACAAAGCCCCACCGAGAGCAATCTCCCTGATATACAAATTCCTAGTAACGAACAGATATCTCTTGGCCCCCCCATGCATCAGACGATGGGAAGAGGATCTAGAAGAAGAACTCAACGACGCGGACTGGGACAAAATCATCTGGCACGTTCAAAAGACCCCGAGCTCAGCTAGACATCAGGAAAACTCATACAAAATCCTCACCAGGTGGTATATCACCCCCACCACCCTCCATGCACGCCACAACTCAATACCGGCCACGTGCTGGCGATGCGGAGAGGAGGACGGAAAATTCCTCCACATCTGGTGGGGCTGCACCCTCATCCAGCCGTTCTGGGAAGCGATACGACAAGTCATCCACACAGTGACGGATGACATCCCACCCATGTCACCAGCCTTCTTCCTACTACACCACACGACAATGCCCACTCCGACGTATAAAAAATCAGTGGTGCCACGCCTGCTCAATGCGGCGAAAACGACTATCCCCATATACTGGAAACAATCATGTGCCCCCCCACTCAGACACTGGGTGGAGGAGGTGGAAGACATAAGAAAATTCGAGGACCTGAAAGCTACCACGGCAGCGGCGAAAGAAAAGCAAATGACTAGATGGCTCCACTGGATAAGACACATTGCCACAGATGAATTCCTACAATACCTGAACCCACCTTGAAACCTGGGATACGCAACCACGAGGCATCCGGGGGCCTGCACCTGGGGCGACATGAAGGCGGGTCACCCTCAACCACACCCCTCCCACCCCCCCCTAGCGGGTTCCGACCTCGCACCACTCACCCACTGACAGGAGGCAACTAGAACCATACTGCGGACCGGACCCCGTAGGGCCACAGCCCCCAGGGCAACAGGCAGTTACCCACGGACCTGCCTCATCCGAGACTCAGACCCACCCCCCACCACCGCATGAAGACATGACTCCACGACCACACACTACCACAGAGGAGGGGGCACCACTGCACCCTACGACCAGCCCACACGAGCCATATACCTCCACAGGCAACCCAAACGCAAATGCAGGCGACAATAAGCACCAGAAGGCAGCGATCCGAGACACAGCCCACAAGGAGCATAATCACACGTACACATACATACACGGGTTTCGCAGCCATCAGAGACATAGGTTAGACAACAACTGCCTCCCTAAACCACCAACACAAAACACAAACAACGCAGCCACAAAGGGCCTCGGGCACCATAACGACCACCCGGACAACCTAAAACAATGACGACAATCACCACCTAGGCGCACGGTTCACGCCCCATGCACAGAGACAAAACACAAACAACGCACCATCTACAGACACACAAGCTGAATTCCCACCAAAGCCCCCAAGGGAAATGGGAAATCACGCCCCAAGACTAGCCTTAGACCTTCACACCATCACCACCATACCTCTCTGGTAACGACTCCGTTTACCTGTCTACCCTTAGCAACACACAGCTAGATGACAAACAACAAGACAAATGTAAAAATAATCTAAGCCCACAACCTGAACGAAGTCATGTGGATTCCTAGAGCTAGTATCTGTTGCAAACCCTAGTTCCTAATGTACCTGCACGTTTTATCTGTAACGCCTCTGCGCAGGCAACCATGAGCTTCCCATGAAACATGAATGACTACCTGCTTGTATCTGCAATGCCAATTACAAAAGAAGCATTTAAAACAAACCCGCTTTGCGCAGGCAACCGAAGGAATACTGTGTTATATTAATGTTGCAGCCCCTGCGTGGGCAATCAATTGCCTTGTTATAAATCAGTTTGATGCCTAAATTCCTAATATGCTTAAAAATAAAAATATTCAAAACAAAAGTTGCAGTGAATCTTTAATCAATCTCCCATTTTGATTCTGGTTTTCTGGCTCTCTACTCTCTCTGTGTGCTGACTTCGAAGTGAGTTTTTGCATGTAGTATTATTTTCTCAGACTCACAAACACATACGTGTAAAATAAATAGCATAAATAAACATAACATTAAAAGTCCTGGAAAGAAAAGATTTGTTAAATCAATCCATCCCTATGGGGAGCATTAACGTAGGTGCTGCACACTGTGCAGGAAACACCTCTAGAGGCCGTCTTAGTGACTGCCACAAGGTGTTACTAGGCAGCAATGTAAACAGTGCCATTTGTCTGAAAAGAATTGCGTTTTTGACATTTAAAAATCCTGGCTCATAACTTTTTTAGCTGGCTCCTAGAATCCATGAACATTTGTCAAGTCCTGATGTAATGTACACTGAATGTCAGAATCTAATCTGTTTTCGTTGTGAACAAGTTATAAAGTTGGTTTGATTTAAATAGTGAGGGAGAAAAACCACTTGTGCGAAAGTTTCACTTGTCAAAAAGTAAATCCTTAGAATACATTCATTTAGTACAACAGGAAACAAGTTGCAGCTCTGTTGCTTAGACTACAACTTCTTTACCCTTTATGCTGATATTACCAGTTCTGTGGTCAAAACACTAAGATTGGGAGCTTTTCCATTATCTATAAACATCATCTGATGTGTGTAGTAGGGGAAATTATACCGTCATGGAGTTTTGAAAATACTTAGAAAACCCACAGACCATACATGTCTAAGACAGAGGCTCACTCACGCATGCCCATATGAAGCATGTCGGTTGTTAGCAATCACTGTGCAGACTCATGGTGAGGAGTTAAAGTGACAGCGGTGACACTTGTCAGATCCTGACTATGTACTTAAACAACCTGATGGCTGCCTGCCACCTTCTCTGGCATCAGGTGAATTTTCATTAGAGACTAACATTTTTCTTCCAATAATCATCTGTGTCCTTGTGCCAATTTCATTTTGGAAAAACTTTCCATGAAGTTTGATAGGTTTTTTGTTGTTGTGTTTTTTTCAATATTGAAATTTGTACATGGAGTGGATCAGTAAAAGGAGAGTTTGTATTGCAAAATCTGGAATTAGAGGTATAATTTATATTTTACATAATATATAGACAGGGCTGGTGCAAAGATTTATGCCGCCCTAGGTAAACACAAATTAGCTTCCCCCCCCCATATGTTCTGCTCACCGTGTGACTTCACAATGCCCCACCCATATGCTCTGCCATATGGCCAACGCCAGTTCTGCACAAAGTGTCTTTTATCTGAAAAGGCAGAGTGTTTAGATTAAAAAACCTACAGGCACAGGCTATAGACACCAGAACCACCACATTAAGCGGTGAGCTGGTGACTATGTATTATGAGGTAAATTAGAGATTGGTGTCACTAATAATATACTAGATTACCACCAGATGAGGACAAGAGGATGATGATGGGCTTAGGCTGCAGTCTGGCTCCACAGGTCTGGTGTAGAAGAGGCTCTCTGGAGACTGTTTGTACTAGTGCTCACAGCAATCAACGAACAGGAAGCAGCTCCATTTCTGGGGCCCCTTACACAGCTCAAGGTCTGGGCGCCCAGGGCCTGACCGTGAGTATGCCTACAAGGCCCGCTCATAAGTCCATCTACATGGCCCATGAGTTCGCTCACTGGGAGTGGAGTGTATGTGTGTCGGGGCTGTGTTATGTGTTATTGTACAGGATGTAATGTGTGTGTGTGTGTTCTTATGGAATGTAGTGTATAGGGATACCAATTTGTGTAAGGGATGTAGTGTGTGTGTGTGTGTGTGTTTCTGGGGGTGTGTGTGTGTGTGTGTAAGGAATGCAAGGTGTGGTTCTTTGTATGTAATTTAATGCAGTGTGTCTGCAAGGGGTGCATTGAGTGTGTGTAAGAGATGCATTTTGTTTCTTTGTGTGTAAGAGAAGCAGTGTGTGTGTGCGTAAGGGATGCATTGTATGTTTCTGTGTGTGTGTGTGTTTGTGGGGGGATGCATTGTGTGTTTCTGTGTATGTGTAAGGATTCATTGTGTATGTGTGTAGTGTAAAAGAGAGGGTTTGTGGGTTAGGATAGCGGCTGAGAGGGGAGGAGCTTTTTTTTTTTTTATAGTGATCTCCCCTCCTGTCCCTTAGTGCTCTTCCCTCTCCCCCAACCCCTTAGTGGCCCTCCCTCTCCCCACCCCTTAGTGGTCCTCTCTCCCCCCACTCCCAAACCCCTTGGTGGTTCTCTCACTCCTACCCCCCCCTTAGTGGTCCTCCCTCTCGCCCTCTCTTGGTGGTCCTACTCCCCCAACCCCTAAGTGGTCCTCCCTCGTGGTCTCCCTCTTCTCCCCTCTTACTGGTCCTCCCTCTCCCCCAACCCCTTAGTGGTCCTCCCTCTCCCCCTCTCTAGTGGTCCTCTTAAGTCCCTTCTCCCCCTCCCTTAGTGGTCCTCTCCCCCCACCCCACCTTAGTGCTCCTCCCTCCCCCTTGTGTCTTGGGTGAAAAATCAACGTGTTGAGTGTCTTGGCTGCAGATCTATATGTGTAGCAGGACAGTTCAGTGGCCATGTTTGTTTGTGGCAGCATGGATCTATATTTTTATATGGATCTGTGTGTACGTGTTTGTGTGTATGTGTGTAGACAGAGGATGGGGTTTTGCTAGGGGCTTAAGTCAACTTGCGGGAGAGTTCATACAATTTGCACCTAGGCTGAAGCCCCTTTCTGTCTGACACTTGGCTATGCCCTTGACACGCACCTTTTTATAGAACGATACAGCAAACATTTCCAGTTGGGTCTAGAAATGAAATGGTTAAGTGCCACCACTTGCTGATGGCATCTATTACCAATGTGATCTGTTTAACAGACCTAACCTATAAAATACTCTGTATATATGAGCTTTTATACTGACACATATTACAGTGTATGGAAATCTGGTACATTGCGGTTTCCTGTAAGTGTTCCATTTTACTTTTTTGTGGCTGCTCTTTCTGGTGGGCACAAGTTTAAACACAATAATGTGCACACGATTGCTAAATGTCATCGCTAGCTGCTGCTTATTGTTTTGGTTCTGCAGTGTCTGCCTACTGTTTATGTAACCACTTTGTGAACTATTGTAGAGCAAAAAAATAATAAAATAAGTTATGATATACAGTCCTGCCCTCCCATTTGCTGCCATTTTAATGTGGTGAATAACTACTTCAACATATTGAATGCTCACTTTCCCAGCTCTGTGCCTGGCCAAAAGTGCTAGCCAAGGGAGAGTGATGGAAATTCTAAAAGCATAGGGATTACAAATTACTGTTTTTCTAGAAGAAAGTTAAGTAAAATACAACTTTTCCTCTTATTTTGAGCAAATTATGTTATATGCATTCATAACAAATGCTATTTTAACATCCTATTCTGGAATGTAACAAACCACCAAATTAAAAGGGAAACTATAGCCACCAAAGTCATTTAATCTTAAATGAGTAATTTTGGTGCATAGATGCTGCCCCTCCAGCCTTGCAAATGAAAACTATACTGTAGTCCCTTCTGGTGGCCATATAGTGACATGTAATTTGTTTTGTGTCACGTTCTGACAGTATTTGACTATTTTGGTGTCAGTCAGTTGCGTGGGAAGATGGAATACATTACTGACTGTGACTTTTCACCAATAATCTGCTAGAGCAGGAGTTGGCAACCTATGGCACACAAGGTACCCTTACACGGTAAGCGAGGCTGCTAGTCTGGCTGTAGCGGTCATAAGAGAGATTACTTTGGGACCGATTGCCCATGCTGCACACGGATGTGGCGGCATATTGCTGCACCGCTTCCTTCGAATCATCATTGATTCTTTGGCTATCTTTCAGTGCTGACCGAGCAGTTGGCATTGGCATTAATTGAAGCAGGCAGAGAGAGGTAGTCATCCATTTTACTCAAGCAGCATTGCAATGCTCAAAGGAAGTGATATCAGATTGCTTCCTCCCAGCACTCATAAGAGGAATCTGCACATGAGGGATGGAGGGGTGGCGGAGGGCACAATAACGTTAGGAATACAAAACTGTATTCCTAATACTATAGTGTTCCTTTAAGCTGCAGTGATTCTGGCGCTTGTAGTGTTCCTTTTAATGTTTGTTTTCACGAGACGCTTTGTTTGTGTTTAACTTCATACTGAAGATTTACCAGGCAATATCATAATCCAGTTTAGATAAGGAAAAGCCAGATCAAGCATTGCAAATAAAAGAGGAGAAATAGAAACCTTGTTCAATTCTACTCTTCTCCTTGTGCTTTCTCTATGCTGACTGCCAGGTGCAAAAGACAGAATTTATAACCATGATTGACTGGGTGAAGATTGAGGCACTCAGCTGCAGGATAAAGAGGTGTGGAATTCTACATTTAACTTGATTTTTTTTACACATCGAACCAGTGGAGACTTGTTCATAGGGGCAGACAAGGCAGCACCCCACTAGTTTTACTTACAATAAAAAAATTTTTTTTTAATATAAACTATATAATTAATTTTTTCTGTTTGGGTAATTAACTGTTTTCTGTAAATGTACACATTGGATATGTACCTGTGCAGTTAAATGTGTTCTGTCCCTTTAAATATTAGTACTGCCATTCCCATTGTTATTCTCTTCTGCTATTGCTAGTTAGAGTTTTAAAATGTCCCACAAATCTGATTAAACTATATGGGAAATGCTCTACTTCACTGTCATTGGCAGCCCCTATGGTTTCCTAATGGAGCTCATTAGGGCGCCAAATAGGCGGGACAAAAATAGCCTTTAGCAGACCGGCCAGCCTACTGGCCAGAGGGTGGATTGTCAGAACTCCACTTCCCCGGTGCAGTTAGATGCCTGGCATGTCTGACATATTCCTATTGATGATTAAAAACGTTTAGAGGCGGAGTTAATCCATGTGTCTAGTCTGGCGCCCCACCAACTTGAAATGTCACCAGCCGCCACTGCATCAAAAATAAACATTTGTTAAATACAGGGATAAGTTAACAGCATATTAAATATCCAGGGAAGTGGCAGTTCCCTTTTAATATAAATTATATATATATAATTATGTCACAGGATATTAAAGGGTTACTCCAAGCATTATAACCACTGTAACCCGCTCTAGTGGTTATTTTACCAAGGGTACCCTGGCCTGATTCTACGGTAATGGGGAAACCGATTCATAACAGTTTACCCAGCTTACTTGGGTCCCCACCGGGCTCTGAGGTTCCCAACCAGAAGTCGATCCGGTCCCCATTCGTTGGCTGAGTGTGTTAGGTGACCTCTCTCAGCCAATGAATGCACAGAATTGACTTTTGCAAGCACGGAACTTGTGGGCTAACTGGTCACACACCCTGATGCTGCTGGAGGTGAGGTATGTGCAGAGTTTCACCGTGAAACGCTACACATACAGACTTAGGGCACCATGATCACTTCAATTCACTGAAGTATTAATGGTGTGTGGAGTAACCCTTTTAATTTATGGTAAAATAAATCTATATGTATTTTGAAAGAAAATAATGCATTTATGATGCAATGTAAATAGCCATTTGTTTAGCCACGTTCTAATACTGTGATTTTAGAGTCCCTCCCGGTGCTATGTCGTTACACTTTGTCCATTTAAACAATCACATTGTGTTTTCAGGGTTCTCATGGTAGAAATTCACGAAGAGCTGGAAGAGTGTGATTTGGAGTCTCTTCTATTTTTATTGAAAAGTCAACTGAGAAATGGAGGCAAACTACCAAAAAAGGTATGTAATTTCTTTAATGTTCAAAATTAATATTCGTGATTCGTGAGGATTAAAGCAATTCTTACAATATTATCGTGTACGATTTAAATATCAGAGCAATGTTAAAAGTAAAGATAGGACACGGAGGTATAATTTGCAGAGGTTGGTGGCAAGATAAAAAAACACCCAGAATGATCATTATGCTTGTTGTGATTGGGGGAAACCAGATAACAAGTTTCTAAAGTGTCAATAATAGTCATAGGGTTAAGATATACCTTCTTTTTTTTTTAAGTTTGAAGCACAGAAATGTATTTTTCTAGTTTTCAGATTTTTAGATCCTTTGTTATTATTATTATACAGTATTTAATTCCATCTAATTGACACTTTTTGATTTGTCTCAATATTTGCTTATTTTGCAGTCCTCTAAGAGGAATATAATTCTTCCGTGAATTTTGCAGTACTGAGTTTTAAAGGGATACACTAAACACCATAATCACTACAGTGTGTTGTACTGGTTCTGGTGCCATTCCGCAGAGTTGAACAGTTTGAATGATTTGACACTCACCTAGGTCCTGAAGTCCTTCAGTTTTTTTGTGATCGCTGAAGCAGAAGTTCTCCCTCATTTGGACTTAATTTATTGAATTATGTTCAGATAGGTACAAAATTGAGATTTCCAAAATGGAATTGGAACTTCCACATTAGTGATATCATAGAAGACTGCAAGAACCCTGGACATCTAAGGGACACAGGTAAGTGTCACACCATTCCAGAATGGTTTGACTCCTCACTGTGAGGGCAACATTAGGAATTCGAGTGACATAACCAATACAACACGCTAGACTTGTTATGGTGTTTAGTGTGCCCCTTTAAGTAAATGTAGTAAATGATTGCTTCCATAGACATTCCTGTCTTTGGTCATTGAAATGGAGAAGGTGAACTTGATTGGACCAGGGAACTTGGATGTATTGGAGCACAACTTAAAAACTATCCGGAGAATGGATCTGAGAAATAAACTAATCAAAAAGAAACAGCCAGGTAAGGAACACCTCTAAAGCAGCATATTTGTATTTGAACACATGAACTACTCAAAATTCTAATTGCTTTAACGGGGCAGTCTAGGAAACATAGCAACTACAGTTTATTAATCTACAAGTGCTTTTCCCACCCCCACCCATTTTTAAAAATTATATTTATTTATTTTTGTTTAGTTTAAGGAAATTTCCCTAATTTGAAGTCTACAATTCACTTGTGGCTCGAATTTCAATTAGCTTTTCAAATGATTCACTACTGTTAGAAATATGTTCATACTGTCTCATGTACCCAAAATCCCATAGACGTTAATGGTGATTTCTATAGATAATTTAAATATCACAATTTAAAAGCTAAAATTTGTAAAGTTTTTCCAACAGTGTTGAAGCATTTGGAAAGCTTATTAAATGGAGGCCTTGGTCATGCTATCAAGTAACTAAGAACAAGGACATTTTAAATACCAAGTCCATGGTTACAAGATGATTGAAACGGTTTCTTTGAATCTCATTGTAAAGTTGATGTGTTCTTAAAGTGCAAGATGCATCAACACATAATCCAGACTCTTTTCGGAACAGGTCACTCTTGCAACCTGTAGCTGGACAAACAGCAGATTGGTTTGTGCTATCCCTTTGTCAGAGATCTGTGTAGATGACCTGATTTACTCTCTCACAGTTACAAGAATGTAACCTGTTCCCATGTGAAGCTTGACCGTATGGTAGAGCATCAAAAGAAACATATTTTTATCCCTGAAGTACCCAAAAAGTAGATGCCAGATGATCCTGAAGAACTACATCTCCCCTGATGCCTTGCTTTTATGGGTCTAAAAAAATAAATCTAGAGATCTTCCTTTTTTTCAAACCCCTGAATTAGTCAAAAAGAACATAAACATAATTTTAGGCACCGATTGGGAAAAAAAGCATCAGATAGAAACATCATTAGGGTCTCAAACCAGAGCCACAATTTGAAATCGACATAGACTGCTAACCCATTTTAAACAATGTTGCTGACAACTAACACAATGCATGAGAGTGTTTAGGCTTTCTTTATTAGTGCAGCTTTTGATTGTGTTTACATTTTGCAGATCAAGGAGCACAGAGAGGTCCCTACATCAACGCATTTAAAGCAACGCCTACACATAATAACATAACAAGTATTGAGGTAAGTCTGCATTCTAAAAGGATACACCACGTCTTTGGAACCTACGCCATTGAATAAAACATTGCTCATCACCTTTAACTTGTGTTGACCTCTTTTCTTTTCATGTGATCCTCTGTTTTCTTTTGAAAGTATAGTAAATATTTAATTATTAGAATCACAGTCCAGTTTGGTCCAGGCACAGCCAAGACACAATAATGTAGGGGAGAGAAAGGAACATTGTTTTTTTTTCCACTTCTGTCTACACTGACTGCCAAGTGCAAAGGGTAAACTTTATAACAATTGTTGACAGGGAGCCAAGATGGAGTCATTCAGTTCCAGTATAAACTAGAGATTTGAATCTCTACGTGTAATTTAACTTTTTTAGAACCCGCCAATACACATTTGTTATATTGGAGGTAAGTAATATAGGAGATAAGTAAACTTAGAGGAGCTTTCTAATACAAAATAAATGCATATATTTTAAGTGTATTTCATTTTTATTTATTTAATTAGATAGGCTTCTTTTATTATTAATATTGGGCCCCTTTTTTATCAGATGCTTCTCATACAGAAGCATTGGATACATGGCTCAAGCTCGTCAATAACTGCAATCCACCAATCAAGTGCTTCTTGCAGAGAAGCATTGAACGCATAGAGTTTCTGGCGCCCGCATACTTTACATGCTGAGGTTGAATGTCAAAATGATTCAATTAGCTGATTCAGCTCAGGGTCCCTTTCTGTCTGATAGGCATTATTATGTATAAACGTGTAAACATTTTATACTGTGCCATTTCTCAGAAACTGCACTGTTCTTGTACTCGAGGCAAGAGGGGCAGAATCAATTCCCCAAAATTATTTAGGTGAACTAATTTTTATGTGTAAACTTTCCTTTTAACATTAAAAATTTGAGGGAAGTGATAGTTCTCTTAAAAGTACACCCATGATGGAAAACAAATTACCACATTATAGTGGTAAAGGCGATTTGGGGTGGTACTGGTGTGGCTACCCTGCCTCCAAGTTATCCGATAAAATCCCACATTTTCTACCTTGTAGTAAAAAAATATAGAAATCAATCATTTACCCAGCTTTACCATAGAATGTAGGAATTTATGAGGATTATTACTTGTCCTGTTTACTATAGACAGACAGTATTAAGAAAAATTCCATTTAATGGACGACTACAAGATGCCCTATGTCTAGCATACAGTAACTGGACAAATCAAAAATTGATGAGATTTTTCTTTTTTCATTTATGCAGAATACATTGAGACCAACAAGGAGTATGTATGACTTAAAAGGTAAAGTTGTTGCTACTTTGACATTGTGAGCAAGTGATGTGATCCTTCTTTCATTCATTTACCCCTCAAAAACAACATTGCTGGGGATCTACCATTTGCTCATCCTTGCAGGGTTGTGCTTGGCACTGAGCAGTGTTTGCATGTTTGAATTGAAGCGTGTTTTTGTATGAAGTATGTGTGTGTGGATGGAGGGGTGTACTTGTGTGTAGTGCTGTGCATTTTTATGTACTGTTGCCATTTGTAATCAGTGGTTTGCCTTTGAATGTAAGGGTGTATGTAGTGTTGATGTTTGAATGCAGGGGTGTATTTGTGTCTAGTGTTGGAGTTTGAATGCTGAGATATATACATATATACACTGCCACACACATACAGTTGCAAGAAAAAGTATGTGAACCCTTTGGAATGATATGGGTTTCTGCACAAATTGGTCATAAAATGTGATCTGATCATCATCTAAGTCACAACAATAGACAATCACAGTCTGCTTAAACTAATAACACACACAGAATGAAATGTTGCCATGTTTTTTTTGAATACACCATGTAAACATTCACAGTGCAGGTGGAAAAAGTATGTGAGCCCCTAGACTAATGACAGGGCAGCTGTAACCAACACCTCCAATCTCATCTCATTGATTGGACTCCAGTTGGCTGACATCTCAATCCCAATTAGCTCTTGGAGATGTCATTAGTCTAGGGGCTCACATACTTTTTCCACCTGCACTGTGAATGTTTACATGGTGTATTAAAAAAAAACATGGCAACATTTCATTGTTTGTGTGTTATTAGTTTAAGCAGACTGTGATTGTCTATTGTTGTGACTTAGATGATGATCAGATAACACTTTATGACCAATTTGTGCAGAAATCCATATCATTCCAAAGGGTTCACATACTTTTTCTTGCAACTGTACATACAGACACACATTGACACATCCGGATACACATACACACGCACTGTGGAATATGTTGGTGCTATATAAATGACAAAAATAATAAAAGAATAATACACACAGACCTTACACACACAGATGCATACACGAACAGACACATCGCAACACACAGACACATAGACTGATACAAATGCAGATACACAGGCAGAAACAATGACACTCATACAGATACAAACAATGACACACATAATGCAAGGACACACACATACCAAGGGGCACACATTGACACACAGATACACATAACATATACAAAAACACAGATAACCACAGATAACACATGCACACAGTTAAGACATACACATACACCCACACACAGATTACGCATATAAAATACACACACATATAACACATAAACTGATAACACACATATAATAGATAACACATGCACATAGTTAACACATACACATACACAGATAACTCATACACAGATAACACATGTACACATACACAGATAACACTCACACAGACATATACAGTCAAAGATTACATAACTTATTTTTAGCCACCCCCTGCTTCCAAACCTTTATTGTGCAGGAGGGTGGCTTCACTGGTGCAGTGGAAGGTTTATTTCCTCCTTTCTCCCAGCACTGCGACTTCTCACAGACCAGGGGGTCTGATCGTGCTCCTATGGACCGCGGTACCTGACCGAGCTCCTGGTCAAAGATAACGATCGTGTGGCCCAAAGTGCATGGTCCACCCGATGGGCCCCCTGTGCCGGCACGCCCTGGTGCATCTGCACCGGTGGTAGTTCCGCCACTGATTGAGTGGCAATGATGGCAGCGTATGTAAGATGTCTTTTAATGTCACAAACTACATATATGATAAGAAGTGGCAAAATAGGAACCTTTTTACCGAAACTTCCTGATACTTTGTATCTGACCACAGTTTAATGTAGTGGTGATTTAATTCATAAATGGCAGTGAATGGAGTAGGAAAACTTCAGAGGCATGATCTATACACAAAACCTGCTTCGTTAATCTAAAGTTGTTTTGGTGACTATAGTGTCCCTTTAAACATGCAACTATATTTTTAAATTGTCAAAGCTACGTGTCACTAAACCAGAAGCGATAAAATTAAGATAAACATGGTTACTTGTGTTCTTATCCTGCATTCCACTAACCTCATTAAAAGCTCTCCCTGAGCTCAACCTCCTTGTTAAACAATTATTCCAATCTGTTTAATATAGTTTTATACCTTATAAACTCACAACTCTGCTTCCTCAACATTGGTTTTATAACTTAGCATATCTATTAAAAATCAAAAATTACAAATGTTTCAGTATTATGAAAGAACAACACTTTATAAGAACTAATGCGTAACCCTTTCATTTTTGCCATCCTACAGGTAAAACACCGGTGCAAGAATCAGCAAAATTAAGTCAGGTAATCAATATCATACAAAAAAGGTCACGTCATTGTTCATTCTAAAAAAATAAAAAATTTTTTAAAAAACACACATATATAGACACATTGTCTGTAAAGTAAATAAACGTTTTGGTTTGTAGTTTTATTTTTAGCTTTTATATAGCGTCAGAATATTCTGCAGTGAATTGTATTAAACAATAAAAAATACTGTATAAATGCATGCAGCTGTTCAATGTTTTTATTCGGCTGCATTTCATTTTTTTTCCTTCTGCGTCATAGAATAGAAGGGGATTTCCAGCTTTCGGTTTGTTTACGTTTCTTCCCGAGAGGGAGGAGTGGCCCGTCCTGTCTGTAATATGAAACCACCTCCTCCTACTCACAGAAACGAAAACTTTGAATTCTGCATCGTTAACCCCATGGACTCCAAACTAGATTGAATTTTCATTGCCAAAATGCAGCAGTGGGTTCTCCAAGATATCTTACAGCACACACAACCATGTGATATGAAACATAACCAGAATTTCTATGCACCACGACACAAACAAAATACAATGTTTTGTGACACTCTCACTTTGTAGATTTGTTAAAGCCTAGGCAACCTTCGGCACTCCAGCTGTTGTGGACTACATTTTCCCCTGATGCTTTGCCAGCATTATGGCTTTAAGAGCATTATGGGAGATGTAGTCCACATCTGGAGTGCCAAAAATTGCCTGCTGCGTGTGAATTGGTAATTTTATATATTATATTTTTTTTTAAACTTTAATTACCGATTGGTTACTGCAATAAAACGTGTGTTTGTCTTTGTAATGTCCTGAAATATATTATAAAACATTATCCTGTTCTGCTTGTTGGCATAACTATATTAAAGAAAATAACATAATTGTGTACTTTCTTGTAGGCGGCAGAGATTGATGAAAGGTACGAAGTGCGCCATGATTTCAAACGATACTGTTTGATTATTGACTGCGTAGGAAATGATGCAAGTAAGTTATGCTGATTTACTAGAAAATATATCTTGGTCACAGAAATGTATTAATGCCACCTCTGTATTAATTTGTATAAAGACTCTCTCACATGTTTCAAAACAAATTAAGTTAACTTAACACATAATGGTAATCTGTCTAGACTCTAAAGCCAAGTATTTCCTACAGGAAATTGTAGAGGACCGTCATGTAGCAAGAGCTATGTAGAAATAAATGTGAGTTCACAGCAGGATTTTGGTGCCATTCAGGATTCACCCTGTTGGGACTGCACCATGTAAAGTAAACTGGACTGTGCAGCCAGTACTGCTCATTGAGATATTGTATTTTAGAGGTACCATACCTCTTGCATGCTTGTTCTTAAATAATGCATTCTGGGTAATATCATGGTGCCATATTGACAAACATTAACCGCGTGCTGTCAAAAATCTGTTAACCGTTTTTGGCCTAGTTTTACCCTATCACTGATGAGCATAGAACATACCTATTCTATTTGTCTTTCTGCAGGTCAGCTGGAGCACACATTTAATAACATTGGTTTCGAAGTGGAAAAACATATGTATGTGACCGCAAAAGAGCTGGAAAATATTCTCCAACAAGCGTCAATGAACAAACAGCTTCAAAAGTGTGATATGTTTATATGCTTCATAATCAGCCGTGGAAATTCAGATTCACTATTTGGAATTAATCAAGAATCACCTGAATTTTCTCTTGACAAAGTTAATACCTATTTCACAGGACAGGCATGTCAATATTTGATAGGAAAGCCAAAGCTATTCTTTCTCCAGCACTATGTTGTGCCAGATGCTGAACGGGCAAGTGCTTGTAGCATGATTGAACGAGATGGGCCTTACGATTCCAGTATAGAATGTGACGGGTGGACACGTTATAGAAATAAATTACCAAATGAAGCTGATATATTTTGGAGTCACTGTAAAGTGGATGATCAGGAACTGCAGACGTCCCCGGGTACAAGCTCTTTATATTTAAGAAGCTTGTGCAGTTTATTATCCAATGCAAAATCAAGGTAAGTCCCGAAACAGCCGTTGAAATTACTACTGTTCATAACAGCTGTCTTATGCTTTCAAAACTCAAATATAGAAAGTTGCTATGAGAAGAAATGTATGGAATTATCCACTAAACTTGGATTTATTGAAAAGTGAATTGAAAATCCATTGGTAGAAAAGTATGCACTAAAGTTAAAGGACCACTATAGTGCCAGGAAAACATACTCGTTTTCCTGGCACTATAGTGCCCTGAGGGTACCCCCACCCTCAGGGTCCCCCTCCCGCCCGGCTCTGGAAGGGGGAAAGGGTTAAAAACTTACCTTTTTCCAGAGCTGGGCGGGGAGCTCTCCTCCTTCTCTCCTCCTCCGTTCCTCCTCTTGGGCTGAATGCGCACGCGCGGCAAGAGCTGCGCGCGCATTCAGCCCGTCGCATAGGAAAGCATTTACAATGCTTTCCTATGGACGCTTGCGTGCTCTCACTGTGAAAATCACAGTGAGAAGCACGCAAGCGCTTCTAGTGGCTGTCAATGAGACAGCCACTAGAGGAAATAGGGGGAAGGCTTAACCCATTCATAAACATAGTTATAAAAAAATGGGTTAACCCTAGAAGGACCAGGCACCCAGACCACTTCATTAAGCTGAAGTGGTCTGGGTGCCTAGAGTGGTCCTTTAATTTCCAGATTGCTTCAAATGTGCAGTCCCCTGGCCAAATCCAGCAATTCACTAAACAATGAATTGTTGTAAACTGAGAACCAAATTTCCTAATAGCCACGGTGTAACTATACGCTGATCAGCCACAACATTAAAACTACTGAGAAGTGAAGTGAATAACATTGATTATATCATTACAATGACACCTATCTATGGTTGAGGTATATTAGCAACAAGTGAACAGTCAGTTCTTGAATTTCATGTTTTGGAAGCAGGTAAAATGGGCAAGAGAAAAGATCTGAGGGACTTTGACAAGGGACAAATAGTGATTGCTAGATAACTGGGTTAGAGCATCTCCAAAAAGGGTCTTGTGAGGTGTTGCCGGTATGCAGTGGTTAGTAGCTACCAAAAGTGGTGCAAAGGAGGAGAACCAGTGTCAGGGTAAACCACGACCAAGGCTTATTTATGCACGTGGAGAGCAAAGGCTAGCCAGTCTAGTCCAATCACACAGAAGAGCTACTGTAGCTCAAATTGCTGAAAAACTTAATGCTGTCATAATAGAAAGGTGTCAAAAAACACTGTGCTTTACAGTTTGCTGTGTATGCAGGTGACTAGTCGCAGACCGGTCATAGTGCCTTTGATAACCCGTGTCCATCGCCGAAAGCACCTTCAATAGGGACGTAAGTGTCAGGACTGGACCATACAGCAATGGAAGAAGGTTGCCTGATCACATTTCCTTTTCGATCAGGTGGATGGCCGGGTGCGTAATCATTGTTTACCTAGAGAAGGGATAGCAGCAGGATGCACACATCCATAGGTCTTGTGAAGTCAGTGCTTTGACTCATCAGAGCTGTTTTGGGAACACAAGGGGACCTACACAATATCAGGCAGGCAGTTTTAACATTGTGGCTGATGGTGAGGAATTCTTCCACGTGCGTTCTTCCCCCAGATATCCCGTATTTACTAAAGTCTGAATGCAAAATGAATTTCGCATTTAAGGCCAGAGTAGCATAGCTGACTTACAGAATGTTTCCAGTGGGCTATTTTTACCTAAACCACTTAAGGACCAAACTTCTGGAATAAAAGGAAATCATGACGGAATATTTCCGTCATGTGTCCTTAAGGGGTTAATGGAACACTCTGGGCACCATACTAAAAATTTGTCAGAATTAAGTTATTATGGTGACAGAAGGTCCTTGGTAGAACCTGTTTAACTCCAAAGTCTTGTATCTAAAACTTTGCCCCATGTCCTTTCACTGCTAGAGGATACCTCACTCAAGTCGGCTCTTACTGGCTGAGAGAGCATCAGCAACGCTCTTAAGCCAATCAGTAGCTCCCCGTTCATAAAAACTGTTTGAGAAAAAATATGTACGTTTCTCAAGCCCCGGTCCACAAGGTTTCCTCTTTAAAGAATCATAAAGCAGGGGAGTGACAGGGGCAGAGCTTAATGCAGCTGTATTCAAGACTATGCGGTTAAACTGTTCATGAACGGTTCAAACCCTAAAGGTGAGCCAGTGCGAGGTATAAAGTGTCGGACAGCAATTCTTAACCTAAATGAAGAATTATTTAGGGAATTGAAAGAATAGCACATTACATTTCAATACCGAATCTAATTACTACCTAAGATTTCAATCCATTAAAATATCTGCTAATGCAAAATCGAGACGGTCTTGAAATCATTACAGATTTTAATTAATTTTATATATATATATATCGAAGAAAAACGAGTGCACTCCAGAGGTCTTCTTTTAGAAAAATGACATTAAATTTATTGCAAAAACGTGTAGTAATACAACATGATCTAGTCGACGTTTCAGTCCACGAAGGACTTTTATCAAGACAGTGAAAAGCGGGAATTGTGAAAGTTTAAATATGGTGGTAACAGATTCTGATTGGAGAGTAAGCAGAGAACAAAATGACGTCATAGGTGAGATGTGAAAGTTGAAAGGGCATTAGTCCCAAGAAAAGTAAATAAACCAGTGAAATATAAACCGGTAAAAAAACATATATCATAAGATGACAATACAGTGCACAGACAGCCGAGGTGGAGCAAATCCAACAACTCAGATGCCATATAAAAACCAAGATGTATATAGAAAAACAGGAACGCCACCCAAAGTACCGATCTACTAAATGTCTAAATACTATATACATATATACAAACCAAACTTCAACTGGGGTGGCTAAATCCTGTGAAAGAATTTCGAGAGGAGAGAAGTATACAAATATACATAGTCATATCAGAAAAAAATTGAAACAAAGTATCAAATTCTGAGTACACAAGATTCGAGGCATATGTAGCAAGCAGAGATAACAAGTCAAACATCTATAACCAATCTAACGAGCAGATGCTAACATTGTAAATCAAAATAGCAAAAGATCAATTCTATCTTACAGAAATAAAGCAATTAAGAGGGTTGATCTCATTCAGTCCTCCTGGATGCATAGTTCCAAGTGTAAAAATCCAAAAGGCTTCCCTTTGGAGGAGAAGCCTGTTTCTATCCCCTCCCCTTAAGGGAACCGGGACATGCTCAATACCCATGAATTTTAGAGTTGGCAATGTATGTCCCTTTTCAAGAAAATGTTTAGATATAGGGGTAGATGCAACACCACTTGATAATGCCATTCTAATCGTCGATCTGTGTCCAGTCATTCGTTGCCTTAAATCATTTGAGGTTTTCCCAATATACATAAGGCCACATGGGCATAGAATCTGATAAACAACATGTGTAGTAGTACAAGTAATCCGCTGTCGTATCTTGTATTCTTTCCCTGAATGCGTTTAGGAGATCACTTCAAAAATTCGCATTTACAAAAACAAAGTGAAGAAGAAGGGACTGAAAAGCTTAAATTACGAAGCTCATTTGATCCCCTCACGGTTAATACCACCTTGAAGACATTTCCACAAATTCTTAAAACGGATACCATGGAGGTTTTCAACACTTTTAGTAGCTCTAGATCCAACATCTCTAGATTAGAAAGGGAAGCTCTTCACAATTTAGCTAATGACATGTCCATTATCATACGTACTGCGGATAAGGGCGGGGCTATTGTTATTTTGCAGTATGAAGATTATAGGGCTGAAATTTTGAGACAACTATCGGACACATGTGTGTATGAACATACTGAAATTGACCCGGTTAATGAATTTAGTAAAGTGATTAAATCGACACTACAAAGGGGAGTAGAATCTGGTTTCCTGACTACAGCTGAATTTGAATATCTCTTTGAAATGCACCCTAGGTGTCCTATTATTTATACACTACCAAAAGTGCATAAAAATTTGAAGTGCCCACCAGGCCGCCCAATTGTGTCTGCATGTGGTGGTCTTCTGGAGCCGATTGGAAAATGGCTAGACATCAAATTTAAAAAACCGGTTATGTCATTACCTACTTATGTGAAAGACTCTGCCCAGGTAATAGCTGCCCTCAACTCCACTATATTACCTCCACAAGGGGTGTATTTAGCAGCTATTGATGTTAATAGCTTATACACCATTATTCCCCATGCTGAAGGGATATCTGCGATGCGACATGTTCTGCTACAGCACCAAGATAAAATTGAGCCTCCTATTGAATATATCCTGGAATTACTAGGATTGTGCCTTACATTGAATTATTTCAGGTTTGAAAAGTCATTTTATATTCAGATTTTGGGGACATCCATGGGTGCCCCTATGGCACCCATGTATGCCAATGCATATATGCATGTGTATGAACAGAGATATATTTTACAAGAATACAGCCAATATATTTTAAAATACTTCAGATACATCGATGATGTCTTTATTATTTGGTCTGGGGAAGAACAAACACTACTTAACATGTTACAATCGCTTAATCACTTGGATTCACCTGTTAGATTTACATACCAGATTAATAATAAACAAATGGACTTTTTGGATCTCCGCATCTTTATTGAAAACAACAAGTTGGGTTATACTTTGTATGCCAAAAAAACGGATCGCAATACTTTACTCCACGCTACTAGCCATCATTCTCCCAATTTGATAAAATCTCTCCCGGTGTCACAATTTGTGAGGGTATTGAGAAATAATTCGGATTCTAATAAGGCTGCGGTACAGGTGCAAGAAATGTTTGAGAAATTCACCCAGCGAGGATATTCTAAATATACTCTGGAAAAAGCATATTCCAAGGCAGTACATCTATACACTAAAGGTTCTAGTACTAAGAATAAATTGAATAGATTAATCTTTCCTCAAACCTTTCACTCACAATCTCGAGAGTTGTCTAAAAAGATTCGGGATGATTGGGAGCTAATCAAAAAAGATAAGACATTACCGGAAATATTTCAACAAAATCCGATGATTAGCTATAGGAGAAATAGGAATTTAAGAGACTATTTGGTACATACTGATATATTGGCATCTAGACGTGTTATTTATCAGAACCCTGGCTGCTTTCGCTGTTTGAAATGCACGGCCTGTAACAATATGACACCTGGAAAATCATTTTTTCACCCGCATTCAGGGAAAGAATACAAGATACGACAGCGGATTACTTGTACTACTACACATGTTGTTTATCGGATTCTATGCCCATGTGGCCTTATGTATATTGGGAAAACCTCGAATGATTTAAGGCAACGAATGACTGGACACAGATCGACGATTAGAATGGCATTATCAAGTGGTGTTGCATCTACCCCTATATCTAAACATTTTCTTGAAAAGGGACATACATTGCCAACTCTAAAATTCATGGGTATTGAGCATGTCCCGGTTCCCTTAAGGGGAGGGGATAGAAACAGGCTTCTCCTCCAAAGGGAAGCCTTTTGGATTTTTACACTTGGAACTATGCATCCAGGAGGACTGAATGAGATCAACCCTCTTAATTGCTTTATTTCTGTAAGATAGAATTGATCTTTTGCTATTTTGATTTACAATGTTAGCATCTGCTCGTTAGATTGGTTATAGATGTTTGACTTGTTATCTCTGCTTGCTACATATGCCTCGAATCTTGTGTACTCAGAATTTGATACTTTGTTTCAATTTTTTTCTGATATGACTATGTATATTTGTATACTTCTCTCCTCTCGAAATTCTTTCACAGGATTTAGCCACCCCAGTTGAAGTTTGGTTTGTATATATGTATATAGTATTTAGACATTTAGTAGATCGGTACTTTGGGTGGCGTTCCTGTTTTTCTATATACATCTTGGTTTTTATATGGCATCTGAGTTGTTGGATTTGTTCCACCTCGGCTGTCTGTGCACTGTATTGTCATCTTATGATATATGTTTTTTTTACCGGTTTATATTTCACTGGTTTATTTACTTTTCTTGGGACTAATGCCCTTTCAACTTTCACATCTCACCTATGACGTCATTTTGTTCTCTGCTTACTCTCCAATCAGAATCTGTTACCACCATATTTAAACTTTCACAATTCCCGCTTTTCACTGTCTTGATAAAAGTCCTTCGTGGACTGAAACGTCGACTAGATCATGTTGTATTACTACACGTTTTTGCAATAAATTTAATGTCATTTTTCTAAAAGAAGACCTCTGGAGTGCACTCGTTTTTCTTCGATATTTATTACGGCTGAGGTAGCACCGAGGCAAGTACAAGACCGGCAAATTGAGTGCGGGACTTTCCAGGATTGCAAATATATAATATTATTATTATTATTATTATTATTTTGCGTTTTCTAGTATATTTGTAAAAATAGGACTTTATTTTTTTTCATTCTTTTTTTATTCCTCGTTATTCTACATCTAAATCCACGTCCCATTTGAGATGAATTAGTGAAAAAATGCACATGTATGTGTGAGGTGTCTTACATGTGCATGTGAACATCACTGCTTTGATGGTAGCCATAGGACTGGTTGGACCTCTTTGGGCACTCATATGCTAATATACAATATTTTTTCTGTGTAGAATATTAAGGCGTTCTACATGACAGGTACAGAGGTTAGACAATAACCGTAAGATGTCCAATGAAAAAACAAATCTATACCAGCACAGCTGTCACAGGCCAAATGCAATCAAGCACGCAATTTTAACAATCAGCTAGCAGAATAAGCAAAAAACGCTCAAGACATTATACAAGAAGAAAGGCTTTGAAAGATATTTTGCAAGAGAAAGGTAATAAGAAGAAGAATTTAAAGGTATGAAGGGTATCAGGACTCAAGAAGTACTGGTATCAGATTATGGTAGATATTGGGTAAAGTGGTTTGTCAGAATGATATGCAATCTAAGAATAAGAAACTTTACTCAGTTGGTCCATGGAAGCTAATAGTTATTCTTAACCTATCAATTTTTGAGACCTCCGTAGTGATGGGAGGGAGATGACCTGCATGGAGACACTGAATTTTAGAGATGTATTGATTCACTGCATCTCTAACGAGCAGTAGCTGATTGGCCAAGCTGTTGTTTGGCCCCACCCCATCGTGCCTCCTTGCCGATTTCAGCCAATCCCTATGGGAAAGCATTGGATTGGCTGAAAATATAACTTCTGATGATGTAAGCAGATTTGGGAGGGGCCAATGCTGTCAGATCCACGTGGCACTGGAAATAAGGTATGCTTTCTTACCTTTTAGGGGGCAAGCCACCTAAATGGTAGTTTTTACATTTTAGGGACAGGAATACATATTTGAGTTCCTGACCCTATAGTGTTTCTTTTACTTAATTGGACTGCTCATCTTCTCATGTTCCATGTGGTAAATATGACCATGTTCTGATCTGTATTTGAAAATAGTTTTAAGTGTTGTAGTGTAAGAATATCAAATGACTTGTGTACTGATCCACGTTTATATCATCAGCTCAATCACCAAGTAAAAATGTTGTTTTTTTGTTTTTGTCCACAGGACAAATCATCATTTGTTGGATATTCACACACAACTCAACTCTTTGGTCTTCAATCAACAACCAAAATATTGCTTACAGTTAAAGCACACATTGACAAAGAAACTCTACTTACCTTCATTTTGATATGCTTCAATTTATATTTTATCAAAATACCATGCCTTCATATATTAAGAAATGGAAATTCATCACTAACACAAGAAGTTGGAAAATACATGTATTATATAAATATATGTGTGTGTGTGTGTATGTATGTGTATATATATATATATATATATATATATGTGTGTGTGTATATATATCCACAAAAATACAACAAAATAGTGCACTCACAGGTCTTGTATTCAACAGTGATAAAATAATGTGTATGAAAGTAACAGCTGCTTTTCAGTCCTGCTTATAAGGTTTTACTGAGCATAAATGACAATTAAATAAGGAAGGAAGTTATACAATAACTTTATACAATTTTATACAAAATTATACAATTAAACCAGTTCTTATTCTGACCTAACAAGGCCGGTAAGTGCTACAGTGTGTGTATATATTAGTATTAAAATACACTTAGCATGACGTTACATATATACAAGATATATATATTGTATATATAATACATCTATATAGATTTTATATTTATATATACACGTATAATTACAATAATAAATAAAGAAAATAAATAAAATATATATTTTTTTTAAATAAATTATATATACATATGTAATCTTATTCTAACTGTATTATACAATTAAACCAGTTCTTATTCTGACCTAACAAGGCCGGTAAGTGCTACAGCCAACCATTATCCCAGGTGTAGGTGGGGAAAAAAGTTTCCATGGAAGAGATGCAATTTTTTTGTGAACAGCAAGTGTGAATAGCTATCTTGGATGAAGTGCATAGTTATTTTATCAATGCAAATCAAGAGAACTATTCATTCTTGATATGTTATACAATGATAAAGGTCCCAGAGCAAAACTGGCAATATTGCTGTGACTTTCATGTGTCTTCACTGTTGAATATAACAAGACCTATGCGTGCCCTACTTTGTTCTATTTTCTATTTTTGTGAATGTGTGTGTGTGTGTGTGTATGTATGTATGTATGTGTATATATATATATATATATAATACACACACACACACACACACACATAGCAGAAATGACTGCACTCCGAGGACTTTATAGAGATTTTCAAATAAAATTTAACTTTTATTCAATCCATTTAAAAAGTCAACGTTTCAGCTCCCACATGGAGCTTTCATCAGGACAAAACATAACAACAGTTGTTATGTTTTGTCCTGATGAAAGCTCCATGTGGGAGCTGAAACATTGACTTTTTAAATGGATTGAATAAAAGTTTAATTTTATTTGAAAATCTCTATAAAGTCCTTGGATTGCGGTCATTTCTGCTATGTCTACATGATCCTTGCCAGACCAGCACCGGGCACCACAGGATTACACCAGGAGCGCAAGCCCTCGTTATTTATGTGTATGTGTGGGTGTGTATATATATATATATATATATATATATATTTATATATATATATATCTGCACACACACAATCTTAAAATTTGTTTATTACACGCCACTGGCCACTATAGAAACATAGAAACATAGAATGTGACGGCAGATAAGAACCATTCGGCCCATCTAGTCCGCCCAATTTTCTAAATACTTTCATTAGTCCCTAGCCTTATCCTATAGTTAGGATAGCCTTATGCCTATCCCACGCATGCTTAAACTCCTTTACTGTGTTTACCACTTCAACTGGAAGGCTATTCCATGCATCCACTACCCTCTCAGTAAAGTAATACTTCCTGATATTATTTTTAAACTTTGTCCCTCTAATTTAAGACTATGTCCTCTTGTGGTAGTTTTTCTTCTTTTAAATATAGTCTCCTCCTTTACTGTGTTGATTCCCTTTATATATTTAAATGTTTCTATCATATCCCCCTGTCTCGTCTTTCCTCCAAGCTATACATGTTAAGATCCTTCAACCTTTCCTGGTAAGTTTTATCCCGCAATCCATGAACCAGTTTAGTAGCCCTTCTCTGAACCCTCTCTAAGGTATCAATATCCTTCTGAAGATACGGTCTCCAGTACTGCATACAATACTCCAAGTGAGGTCTCACCAGTGTTCTGTACAATGGCATGAGCACTTCCCTCTTTCTACTGCTAATACCCCTCCCTATACAACCAAGCATTCTGCTAGCATTTCCTGCTGCTCAACTCTGTCTACTGCACCACCCTGATCTATAATTTTAGTTACCCAATCAAAAAAATCAATAAGATTAGTTTGGCATGATCTCCCTGAAGTAAACCCATGTTGTCTCTGATCTTAAAATCCATGTGTTTTTAGATGTTCATCAGTCCTATCCTTTAACATGGTTTCCATCACTTTCCCCACTACTATCAATGTAGATATTCCAACTGATAGTGGCCAGTGGGAATTTCCAGTGTGTGTATGATTGATATATACACACATTGGTAATTTAGAATATTCAATAATATTACTAAAATATTACTATTTATAGGAATGCCATTTAACTATAACTGAATATTTAACAAATGATTGCAATGCACATTCAAAAGATTATGGAAGCCATTGTTGGGTGTAATAGATTGATAGGGTTATTCACTAAAGAGAAAATTGTCAGAAATTCAAAGCAAAGGCAAAATTAGTCGAAACTGGAAGCGTAGCTTACTGAAAATGTTTCCAGTTTGGCAATTTTATTTAAAATTTTAAATTCATCTTGAATTCCTGACAATTCTTAATATAACACATAACCCTGTGAGTGTCAGCGTTAGAAAGTTCTATTGATAACAGGTTAATGGCAGCATGGGCAGCCACATCAAAATTATATTAAACCATGTGCAGACCAAAATGTGTCCTTGTTATAACAGTAAACTCGTTGCGAAATCACTTTGATAAAAAAATGTTTTTCCTCACCTGAAAAACCTTATGCTAGCTCTTTAGATAATCCAATATTAAAGCTATTTTTGAATTCAGGGATCAGTATCTTACTAGAATAATAGTGGGCCTTGTATATTAAATCAATCCTAAACAACTCTGAGCGATGCCAGACATCTTATTATTATTATGCTATTTATATAGCGCCATCAAATTCCGCAGCGCTTTACAATGGGTGGACGGACAGACATGTAGTTGTAACCAGACAAGTTGGACGCACAGGAACAGAGGGGTTGAGGGCCCTGCTCAATGAGCTTACATGCTAGAGGGAGTGGGGTAAAATGACACAAAAAGGTAAGGATAGTATTAGACTAGTGAAAGTTGCAGAAGAGGAATCAGTCAGGAGCTATTCACATATGCCAGAAAATATAAATAACATTCTACTACACACACTGTAGGTCACAATGAAGAAAAATTGTATCATAACTATTTAAAACTGAATTTCGGAAACAAAATGTCTGACATTTGAGAAAAGTTGAGATGGCAATTTGTTTATTGACTCTCAAATGCTTTGTTAGACAACGGTCTAATTCAGTTTACAACTACAAAACACTTAACCCCTTAACGCCGTCCTGCATTAAATGGGCTTTAAAGCCGTTGCGGCAGCATAGAACGCCGTAACGGCTTGCAGCCACAGGAGCTCGGAGGTACTTACCTCCGCCCGCGATCCTCTTCGGGAGGACTGCCTGAGAGCCCAGGCAGCCCTCCCCGGGCAAATCTGGCCCCCTATAGCTGGCTGTGGATCTGCCAGCAGGGGGACTGTCTAAAATGTCAGACAATCCCCCTACTGGTGGGAAGTATAAACATATTTTATTAAACATGTTTAAAATAAATTGCAAGTATATGTGTGTATGTGTGTGTATATCTTATATATATGTAACGTCATATGTAGTGTATTTTAATGTTAATATAAGTACATAAATTAGTATTAAAATACACTTAGAATGACGTTACATATATACAAGATATATATATTATATATAATACATCTATATATTTTATATTTATATATACATGTATAATTACAATAATAAATAAAAAAATAAATAAAATATAATTTTTAAAAATTAAAATAAATTATATATACATATGTAATCTCATTCTATCTGTATTTTGTTATTAATATATATATATATATATTGTTAACAAAATACACTTAGAATGACTATATATAAAATACAAATAACTTCAAATATTTATATATAGATAAATATAATTACATAGAATTTAAATACATATATGTATGTTAAAATTCTACGTGTATATTTAAGTAATCTTTTAACATAATTATGTGATTTAATTAATTAGAATTTGATTGACGTGCCTGACAACTCAGGCAGAAGTGCAGAGAATTTAATTCGCACACACTATATTTAATCCTGTATCTTTCCAAGACACCATAAAACCTGTACATGGGGGGTACTGTTTTACTTGGGAGACTTTGCTGAACACAAATATTAGTGTTTCAAACTGGTAACTTGTATTACAACGATGATATATTTAGTAACAGTAAAGTTTTTTGCATTTTTCACACATGAAGGGCACTTTTACTGAAGATATTACTGTTGTAATATGTTTTACTGTTTTGAAACACTTATGTTTGTGTTCAGTGAAGCCTCACAAGTGTAACAGTACCCCCTATTTACAGGTTTTATGGTGTTTTGGAAAGTTATAGAGTCAAATATAAGGCTTGCATTTCATTTTTTTCACATTGAATTTTGCCAGATTGGTTACGTTGCCTTTGAGACCATATGGTAGCCCAGGAATGAGAATTACCCCCATGATGGCATACCATTTGCAAAAGTAGACAACCCAAGGTATTGCAAATGGGGTATGTCCAGTCATTTTTAGTAGCCACTTAGTCACAAACACTGGCCAAATATTTTTTTTTTTGCTTTTTTCACACAAAAACAAAAATGAACGCTAACTTTGGCCAGTGTTTGTGACTAAGTGGCTACTAAAAAAAGACTGGACATACCCCACTTGCTATACCTTGGGTTGTCTACTTTGGCAGATGGAATGCCATCATGGGGGTATAGCAATTTGAGCAAGTTGGCCTATCATTGAAAAAAAATACATAGTACACATAATACTTTATAGTTAGTTTCTCTATTTGTTACAGTATCAAGTTCATGCTACAGTAAGAGGAGACACTCCGAGCTGTTGATTTAGACTATTTCCTAAATTAGATTTAGATTACTGTCCCCTAATAACAAATTGTTACATTTGGGGGATTGTGGGCTACCACATGGTCTCAAAGGTAACATTACTAATCTGGTAAATTTCAATTTGAAAAAATTGAAAAATGGAATGTGCTATATTTGACCCTGTTACTTTATTAAAGCTAACAGTATTGTGACTGTCAGGTATAGTATGGCATGTATTTCGTCGCCGGAACCCACTTCCGGGTTCACGGCGCTCAGCCCCGCCCTTTTTTCTGACGCGGTCCCTCCACGATACTTAGGAAGACCGCGCCAGATTCAAAGGGCTGGATTATTCGCACAGGTGCTGCAGAAAGATCAGCTGCTCTACTTTTGATCCTACCTGCTCCACTTCTAGACCTCGGCTAAACGGATTTCTACCTTCTCCACTTCTCGACCTCGGCTTGTAAACGGATTTCTACCTTCTCCACTTCTCGACCTCGGCTTGTAAACGGATTTCTACCTTCTCCACTCCTAGACCTCGGCTTGTAACTCTGAATTCTACCTTCTCCACTCCCAGACCTCGGCTTGTTAAAACGGACTTCCCCACTCTCCACTCCTAGTTCTCAGCTTGTTGAAACGGACTTCTAATTTCTCCTTCATTGGGTGAATTAACCCTTCCAGTGCCAGAACTGCCTTTAAGTTAAGTAATACTTTTACCAAACAAGCCAATTCCTATTATTTATATTACACAGTATCTAAAACTCACTAAAGTGTCACTTGTCTAATTATTCCTCTTATTCATAAGGGATTGCTACAAAGCCTAATTTTTCCTTCATGTGTATTTAAAGGTACAGTGACCATTGTTTCATATCAATATAAAAGGAGGTGAAACTTATTGTTGCTGCAACCAGGAAATTCTGCAGTTGAGTTCCAATTAAAGAAGTATTACAAAATAAGTATTACAGAATAATCCAGCCCAATTCAATGGAACCAGCAGATATCAACTCTCAAGTTTCTGCCCTAACCAATAGAGTGGATACGATTGCTCAAGGGTTACAGGAACTGCAAATTACAAATGAGAGAGTATTAACCTATGTTAGAGACATTCAAGGTCATCTTCCTCATGCCGCTCTTCAATCGGCTGGTGATCCTGCTGTCTGTAATCCAGAAAAATTTTATGGAGATAGAACAAAGTACAGAGAGTTTTTGAATTCTTGCAAACTACTAATAGCTTTAAAACCTAGATCTTATCCCACCGAAAGATCCAAAGTCTGTTCAGTGATCTCTTTTTTAAGAGGTGAACCTATGGCCTGGGCCCATTCCTTTTTGGAAAATGATGATCCCATATTAGATTCATTGGATGAGTTCTTTGAAGCTATGTCTTTATTATATGAAGATCCTTTTAAACAAACTACTGCTGATTTAACCATCAGAACATTACACCAAAAGAATAGACCTGTTGAAGATTATATTGCAGAATTCAAAAGATGGGCTACAGAAACCCAATGGAATGACATTACTTTACGCAATCAATTCCGTCTCGGATTATCTGAAGCTGTGAAAGATGAACTCTCTCGTACAGAACTTCCTCCTACCTTAAATGCATTGATTCAACTGTCCATCAGTATTGATAGACGTCTAAGAGAAAGAAAAGCTGAAAGGGTTCTTACTAATTCTACCTGGAGAAAACCTTTCACTACTCTAAAACTACCTGAAAAAATTCCTCCACAAACTGAACCTATGGAAGTAGGTATAATAAAAAGTCCTCTTACTTCTGAAGAAAGAATAAGAAGGAGACAACTAAACTTATGTATGTATTGTGCTTCGAATGAACATCTAATTTCCGAATGTCCTCTACTGAAACATTCAAAAGGTGGTAAGCTTCATTCATCTACCTCTATATTGAACGTTTTTCAAAAAAGAAAAGCATCTACTTATTTTTCTATATCTCTCATATTACAGTGGGATACAAAAAGAATCGTGACTGAGGCCATCATTGATTCTGGTGCTAATGGAACTTTTCTTGATTTTTCTTTTGTTTCAAAACATAAAATTCCTAGTGTTCAAAAAACTAACTTTATTCCAATCAGAGTTATTGACGGTTCATTTATATCCTCAGGACCCATCAAAGATGAGACAATCCCTCTAAGAATGATTACCAACAACGTACATTTCGAATTCATTACATTTGATATTATTAAATCTCCACTTTATCCCGTCATTCTAGGAATTAATTGGTTAAAAACCCATGATCCTTTAATTAAGTGGTCTCCCTTCTCCATCTCCTTTGCTTCTGATTTCTGTAAAAAAACGTGCTTACAACACATTCCTATTCTCCAAACTATTGTAGAACCAGTTATACCTCCATTCTACTCCGATTTTGCAGATGTCTTTTGTAAAAAAGAAGCGGAAACACTTCCTCCTCATCGGGTATATGATTGCCCAATAGATCTCATACCCGGAGCTCCTATTCCTTATGGTCATATTTATCCACTCTCTGAAAAGGAGTTAGAAATTTTAAAAGAATATCTTAATGAAAATTTACGCAAAGGGTTCATCAGACCCTCGACCTCTCCTGCTGCTTCTAGTATTTTCTTTGTGAAGAATAAAGACCAAACCATCCGTCCTATTATAGATTACAGAGCCTTAAATAAAATAACTATTAAAAATCGTTATCCTCTTCCACTAATAAATGAATTAATTGAAAGGTTAAGAACTGCAGCTATATTCACTAAACTCGACCTTCGAGGCGCATATAACCTCATTAGAATAAAACAGGATGATGAATGGAAAACCGCCTTCCGGACAAGATATGGTCTCTACGAATATCTAGTGATGCCTTTTGGGCTCTGTAATGCCCCTGCAACATTTCAACATTTTATAAATGATATCTTTAGAGATCTTCTGGATATATGTGTTATTATCTACTTAGATGATATCTTAATATATTCTAACAATTTGGATGAACATAGGAAGCATGTTAGATGGGTTCTATCTAGACTGAGAACTCATAAATTATACGCTAAACCAGAAAAATGCCTTTTTGAGGTTACTGAATTCTCTTTTCTAGGATACATTATTTCACCTCATTCTTTGAAGATGGATAATTCCAAAATCAAATGTATTATTGACTGGCCCGCTCCTACTACTACAAAAGAATTACAAAGTTTTCTTGGATTTGCAAACTTCTATAGAAAATTTATTAGAAACTATTCGGATGTATCACATCCTCTTAACCTCCTCAACAGTAGTAAACGTCCTTTCAATTGGAATAAAGATGCACAAACAGCCTTCGACGAATTAAAAAAAAGATTTACAACTGCACCTATTCTACAACTACCTAATCCAACATTCTTATATGTTCTTGAAGTTGATGCATCAGATGCAGCCATCGGAGCAGTTCTTTCTCAACAAAAGACTCCACAAGATCCACTTCATCCAGTTGCCTTTTTTTCAAGATCCTTGAGCTCTGCTGAAAAAAATTATCCTATTGGTGAAAAAGAATTATTAAGTGTTAAAGCTGCCTTCGAAAATTGGCGTCATCTTCTGGAAGATACAAAACAACCTATAATAGTTTATACTGACCATAAAAATCTTGAATATCTCTATACTAACAAAACCCTTACAGCTAGACAAGTTAGATGGAACCTATTTTTTAACCGATTTAACTTCCAATTAATATACAGACCTGGAACTAGAAATAAAAAGGCTGACGCTCTTTCTCGAATTCCTTCTAAAACTACTACTGATGATTATCCTCCTAACAAAATAATAGGGATCCTCTCTTCTCTTCATGATGACATAAAGAATTTGAATCAGAAGGATCTTGAACTTCCCAAAACACCTATACTAACAAAAAAGGATGGTATATTTTATTTTAAAAATAGAATTTATATTCCTCCCATTCTTAGGAATAAATTACTTAAGATGGTTCATGATTCACCCCTAGCTGGACATCCTGGAATAAAGAAAACACTTGAACTAACTTCACGATATTATTGGTGGCCTCGCCAGGATAGAACCATTGAATTATATGTCAAAACATGTCCTATATGTCAAAGGTCTAAACCAGAACATAATCAACCTTTTGGATTACTACTTAACTTACCTATTCCAGAAAAACCTTGGCAATCCATTTCTATGGATTTTATCGTTGATCTTCCACCTTCTCAACATTTCACCACTATTCTTGTCGTTGTGGATCGCTTCACAAAAATGTCCCATTTCATTTCCTTAAAAAAATTACCCTCCTCTGTAGAATTGTCTAAGGTCTTTATTGACAATATTGTGAAACTTCATGGTCTTCCTGAAGAAATTATTTCTGATAGGGGGACACAATTTACCTCCAAATTCTGGAAAGAGATGTGTCTCTCCCTTCAAATTCAACGCAAACTCTCTTCCGCTTATCATCCCCAAACTAATGGGCAAACAGAAAGGGTTAATCAATGTTTGGAACAATATCTTCGATGTTATTGTTCATACCTCCAAGATGACTGGACCACATGGTTACCTATGGCCGAATTTTCTTACAATAATACCATTCATTCTAGTACGAAAATGACTCCTTTCTTCTCCAACTATGGTTTTCATCCGTCTTCATTCTCCATCCAAACCATTACTTCATCCAATCCTACTGTTACATCAAAAAACGAATTTATGTCTTCTCTATTTCTCAAATTACGGGAGAATCTTCAACTCGCCCAAAATAACCAGAAAAAGTTTTTTGACAATAATAGAAGAATTCCCCCTCCTTACAAGGTAGGGGATCTTGTCTGGCTCTCTTCAAGGAATATTACCACAAGCCGTCCTTCAAAGAAATTGAGCTCTCTTTTTCTTGGTCCCTTTCAAGTAATTACTACCATTAATGATAACGTTGTTAAACTAAAACTTCCTCCAAGTTTTAAACTTCATCCAGTATTCCATGTCTCCTTACTTAAACCACACATCCCTGATCCTTTTCATAGAGAAATAGTAACAACTCCTGAACCTATCATTGTCCAAGGTGAAGAAGAATATGAAATTCACAAAATTTTGGATTCTCGTGTCCACCGTGGCTCCTTACAATACCTTATCAGATGGAAAGGTTATGGAGTTGATGAAGACACTTGGGAAGATTCATCTAATGTACATGCTAGGAGGTTAGTTACTGCCTTTCACAAACGCTACCCCTCCAAACCGAAATAGTGCACCCAGAGGATGCCCCATGAGAAGGGGGTACTGTCAGGTATAGCATGGCATGTATTTCGTCGCCGGAACCCACTTCCGGGTTCACGGCGCTCAGCCCCGCCCTTTTTTCTGACGCGGTCCCTCCACGATACTTAGGAAGACCGCGCCAGATTCAAAGGGCTGGATTATTCGCACAGGTGCTGCAGAAAGATCAGCTGCTCTACTTTTGATCCTACCTGCTCCACTTCTAGACCTCGGCTAGTAAAACGGATTTCTACCTTCTCCACTTCTCGACCTCGGCTTGTAAACGGATTTCTACCTTCTCCACTTCTCGACCTCGGCTTGTAAACGGATTTCTACCTTCTCCACTCCTAGACCTCGGCTTGTAACTCTGAATTCTACCTTCTCCACTCCCAGACCTCGGCTTGTTAAAACGGACTTCCCACTCTCCACTCCTAGTTCTCAGCTTGTTGAAACGGACTTCTAATTTCTCCTTCATTGGGTGAATTAACCCTTCCAGTGCCAGAACTGCCTTTAAGTTAAGTATTACTTTTACCAAACAAGCCAATTCCTATTATTTATATTACACAGTATCTAAAACTCACTAAAGTGTCACTTGTCTAATTATTCCTCTTATTCATAAGGGATTGCTACAAAGCCTAATTTTTCCTTCATGTGTATTTAAAGGTACAGTGACCATTGTTTCATATCAATATAAAAGGAGGTGAAACTTATTGTTGCTGCAACCAGGAAATTCTGCAGTTGAGTTCCAATTAAAGAAGTATTACAAAATAAGTATTACAGTGACATTTACAGCTTAAATGTCGACAAATTCTTTTTAAATCTTAATTTCTCACAGTTTTTTTAAAATGTATTTATAATAAATTATGTTTCAATTATGAATAGTTCATGAAAAATTAAAGCCCAGTTTCTCCTTTAATGTACCTTATTGGCTCACGATAACAAGAGTTTTTAAGATAAAACATGATGCTTAGTTTACTCTTAGAACTATATATTTTACAGATGTACAGATTTTAAATCCTATATTTTATATTTCAAATTGTATTTGATGATTCATTTCTTCATTTATTGTTGGGGGAAGTGAATCTCCATTAAAAAATGGATAGAAGCTACTTTTCTCTGAATTCAAGTTATTTCCACTCAAGAATCAAGTACCCCAAATGGTTTTGAGATAGTATAGTAAATCAATGTTCTGCTAACTCTTTGGTCATAACATGAAGTCTGGCTCCTGCAATTGCCTACTGTAAGCATGCAACCTTACTGTTTGGAGACTTTAATGTCTGAGCGAAAAAGAAAACCTAACCAGAAGAAAAACCTTTTGGACTTTTAATGCCAAAATAGGCAAGGTGGAGGATTCTATTCACATCACAAAGAATTAGCAGACATACAACAAGCACTGATGAGGTAAAATGGTGATAAATGAATAGACCTCTATGTTATGGAGAAACATTGTTTATATTTGCTATCCTAGAGGATATTTGACAATGCTTTCTTTGCAGCTACATATATACATTATTCTAGCCTTTCCACAATGTGCTACAGCTCAGAATGGCTACCAGTGGTGATTTTGTATGAGACTTCATTAATAAAAAGAGTACTACAAGAGTAATACCTTCTCCACCAAAGTTCATACAATGGAACATCACCTACTCCAGTATTTGGCGCAATCTCTTCCTACGATCCAAGCAACAACATTTGGAGAGGGAAAGGTCAGTCTCCTTTAAGCACTCCCATAAAGCATAAATTGAAGAATAAAGAATATGTTAATATAATTTTATGTTTGAGGGCAAAATTCTTATTTTCTTTTAAATTAAAGGGACACTACAGTTACCCAGACCACTTCAGCTCAATGAACATGTTTGAACATCTGTATAGACTCTCATAAAACCACTTCTTCAGGCAGAGAATTGCACATCCTGATTGTAAAAAAAAAAAAAAAACTTTCCTTTGCCTTAGACGAAATCTTCTTTCTTCCAGTCTAAACGCATGGCCTTGTGTCCTATGTAAAGTCCAGTTTGTGAATAGATTTCCACACAATGGTTTGTATTGGCCCCGAATATATTTGTATAATGTTATCATATCCCCTCTCAGGCAACGTTTTTCTAAACTAAATAGGTTTAAATTTGTTAACCTTTCTTCATAGCTGATATTCTACATATCTATTACTCTGTAATTTAATTCTGTTTGATGAAATTTTATTTTGGTTGGCATATGATGAAATTTGGATTTCTTGTGGTAATGCAATAGTGGTTTTGCAGCACCTTATACTAATTAATATAAGGTAAAAAGGCAGTGTTTACATTAAAATGCCTGTAGGGATATTCTATAGACACCATAACAACTACATTAAGCTGTAGTTGTTTTTGTTGATTATAGTGCCCCTTTAACTCCTTAAGGACACATGACACGTGTGACATGTCATGATTCCCTTTTATTCCAGAAGTTTGTCCTTAAGGGGTTAAATCTGTTTTTATCAACTTTTTCAGATTGTCTGATATGCACAGACTAATATAGCAATTTGAGCAAATTGGCCTCTCATTGAAAGAAATACATAGTACACATAATACTTTATATTTAGTTTCTCTTTTTTTGTTACAGTATCAAGTTCATGCTACAGTACAGTACAGTACTCCGTACAGTACTCCGAGCTGTTGATTTAGACTATTTCTTAAATTATATTTAGATTACTGTCCACTAATAACAAATGGTTACATTTGGGGGATTGTTAATCTACTCGGTATTACTGTACTTTTATAAATTAAACTTGTTGCATCCCCCCATGCTGTCAACAGGACAACTGGTCCTGTTACTTCCTGGTTTGGTTAGCTCAGTGGAGCTAAACTCAAAAGGCAGCAATTGCTCAGAGCACTTGCCTTGCAAAGACTTCTCATTGAGCTGAGCCTTAATGAAAAAAAATACATAATTAAATACATGCGTGTTTTCATTGGGGGTATATCTACTAAATTATGAGATATATAGTATGTATTTTTGGGGGCAGTGGAGAGTCCCTTTGAATGTGCTTGCAGGAGTTTTATAATTGTGTAATTATGACTACGTGAAGATTAACAGGATCTTGATATTGCTTTTTAGTAAAAGTTGCAATCTAATCGTTCGACACCACACTCCTTAGCTTTTTAATAAGTTGAACAAATGACACATTATAAAGGTTGAAATGTGACTTGTTTTTCTTTATAAATAAACTAATAATTTTTCTAACAATTTATCAGACATTTTCAGTATCGTCAAACAATGAATTCATATAACTGTGCTCTTAAAAAGTATAATTATATTAATTTATTAGAAATTTGCGCAATATTACAAAATAAAAGTAATTTAATATTTATGCAAATTTGTCTCTTTTGTTATTATGTCCATTAATTGTTTATTAGTTACTTATAACTGCAGTATATTTTAATGCAGCTAGACTAGTTTGAGGTTTGTGAGTTACTACCAGGGACGTCTTTAACAAGGGGCCGGGCCCAGTTGCTCCTGAGGGGCTCAAAGCAGCTGCCCTGTGGGCCCCCTGCCGCAGCCAGGTCTGAACAGCCCACAGGGATACCGAGAAATATCCTGGTGGGCTGCAGCAGGTGAGGTAATCAGGGGGCCCCCGGCCTTTTAAGATATCTCCAGACCGGGCCCCTGTCTTCCTGCCTGCTGGGAGGAAGTGTTGTGAGGTCACTTACACCCAATTAACAGAGTGCCGCTGGGGAGGAGGAGGCATACATGGAGAGCAGGAGGAGGTACAGACCAAGAAGAAGACTCCCATCAATCTCAGCCATCTAGCTCCCACAAATGTGTATTCCTGAACTTATAGTGTTAAAAGGTCAGTTTAGGCCCCTGTTCCCCCCACCCACCCCCCCTTTACTAACTTTAAAAAAATGCTAAAGCTCACCTTTATTCCAGCACCGTGCAGGTCCGCCGCCCCTGATCCGTCTTCTTGACTGGCATTAACCAATTGATGATCTCAGCCAATCCAATGCTTATTTTTCACAGGAATGCATTGGATTGGCTTAGATCGTCAATTCTTATAATCTCAGCCAAGGAGGCGGGGCGGGGTGAAGCCAGCTTCTCCTCATAGAGCTGCATTGAATCGTTGTGCAACACTGACCCATGGAGCACCTCTAGTGGCAGTCTGAGTGACTGCCACTGGAGGTGTTCCTAGGGAACAATGTAAACACTGTCTTTTCAAAAGCCTGCAAGGACATGCTGTACTCACCAGAGCAACCACATTAAGCTGTAGTTCAGGGGTTCTCAACCCAGTCCTCAGGACCCCCTACCAGTCCAGGATTTGGGGATTACCTGGGTGTGTCTCAGGTGTTTAGAAAAAGGGAAAAAAACACCTTAGACTCTAAGGTGTTTTTTCTTTCTTTTTCTAAACACCTTAGACACACCCAGGTAATCCCTAAACCCTGGACTGGTAGGGGGTCCTGAGGACTAACGTTGAGAACCCCTGCTGTAGTTGTTCTGGTGAGTATAGTGTTCCTTTTAGTGATGTATCCTGGTTTTATGCTGCCCTAGGCAGGACAAAACAAAGGCGTCACCCCCACCAAGCCTTCCCCCCCCTTCTAAATACACACAAACACATTCACTGACAGATACGCACACACTAGCTAACAGAAACACACACTCACTAACAGAGACACACTCGCTAACAGACACACTCACAGACACACACTCACTCACTGACAAACACTAATAGACACACACACTCACTAACAGACACACACACACACTAACAGACACACACACACACTAACAGACACACACACACTAACAGACATACACTCACTCACTGACACACTAACACTCACACACACTAACACACACTCACTCACTGACACACTAACACTCACACACACTAACACACACACACTCACATTAACACTCACTTTTTTTTAAATTTAACCCCCCCCAGCCTCCTTACCTTTAGGAATGCTCGGGGGGGGGGGGGTTCTCCCTCTCCCAGTGGCTTCTGGGCGGGTGGCGCTGACATCATATTCCGGCTCCCAGTATCACTCTGCAGCGCACGACTGCCGCCATATTCAGCAATAACATAACAATAGCATGTAAAATGCACTTATAACCGCTGAAAGGAGCCCCTTTTTTTTACTAATAAAAGTGTAGGAGAACATTCATCAACACCTATGTGAAAACCTTTTACGATGGGTAGTATGATAAGGTTGTAAATATATTTGTTACAATTGCCTCTTAGAGAATCAGATTTGCTTGCTATCATGTAAGATGTTTAGAATGCTCTATAACCCAGAACATGGGGGAGAGGGGTCTTAAGGGGAAGAGGTAACAAACTGGCGGTTTCTGCAATGGACGGTGTTGTCCCACTCCCACCACCCGGAGGCCTTCTCTAGCTTGTTCCCCTTAGGAAATTACATAACTATGCTTATATGAGATAGCCCCTATGCCAGATTATAATCACTATCGGTCTAACTGGAGGTGGTAAGGAGTTACAATGCAGGTGAGTAATTAAAAATGCCTGGAGCTAGCATAAATGTAAATTTGCACTTAAAACTTAATGCTAAAGTAGTAACTAAACATTGTTCCCAGCTAGGGATTGTAAAAGAAAAGGGGTTGATCCTGAAAGTCTGGTGTTCAGGTTAGTCCCTCCAGTCTCTCAGGTGCCCAGACTGGGGCGGTCTGCCTTCTGTTGGCTAATGGAGGTAGGCTTCGCTGAAGAGGGGCTTATGTCCGCACCCAGAGACTTGGTTAGCTGGAACGGCACAATTTTAGACATGTTGGGTCTTTTGACCAGGTATTGTGGTCTCCGGGTCCAAATGTAGTGGCAGTCCCAGTGATATCTGCACAGATTCAGTTTCTGAGGCATCCGTAATTCTGAAGGTTTTGCCGCCTTGTGTGATGATCTGATTCTGAGGGAAAACCAAACCATACGGTATGGCATGACTGCGAAGAGTAGTGGTCATAGGTTGGAATTGGCTTCTCCATTGCAACGTTGGTCTGGATAGGTCTTGGAAGAAGGTTAAGGTAGCGTTTTCGAATAGGCAGGTAGGCAGTCCCCTCACCGCAGCCATGAATGAGATTTGCGCTAACCTCCTCTGGAACTGAAAGGATGACATCCTTGGTGAGTCCGCCAGGGCTCTGGTTGCTTTTGGGATTCGAAAACCCCTTTCCACAACTGCTTGTTTTGCTTGTTTAGGGGTGAGTATTGTGCTTAGAGGGCAGCTCATTGTTCTCATCACAGGAGGTGTGGTGTAGTCTCCCAGTGCCTGGGATCTCGTCCAGCATATCCATGACCTGTTCCTCAGAGGAGGCCAAAAGCAACTCACCATTTTCTTTTGGCGCGACAGTGGTTAAGACCCTGGTAGGCAGGAGCAGAAGATCTCCAATATCCCGGGCACCCATCAGTCTAACGTGTCCTTGGTGTCTGGACTTCTTCCCCATGAGGTGGGTGCTTACTTTGCCTCTAAATGAGTGGAGGTAAAGTGTTTTAGGATGCATTTTCAGGCTTAGCTGCATGGAGCTCTCCTTTGGCACGTCAGCCATGTTACAGTGCTGTCACCCACTCCATGTGTTCCCCATTAATGGTTAATAAGTATGCAGAAAGTTTAGAAAAATACCCCTCTCTGTCTCATTAGAGACTTTCCTTTTAGCGGAAAACAGCAAGGTGAATTGGTAGTGTAAGAATCAAGTGTAAGAGGTTTTGCCTTGACGTGGCAGGTGAGCTTACATTTAAATGGCCATTGGTGTGATTCTTAAAACCTCCAGTTATGTAATTGAACATAGGGATATGGGATAGTGTGCAAGTAACTTTTTTTCTTTGTTTTTTTTTTTATTTTATATATTGGTGCTGATGTGTGCTATAGTCATTGCTGCCACCCAGCAGTAGTGGGAGTCTGTGCGCAGGTGTTTTATTTTATAGGGATTTAACCCTGCCTGCTAACACCAGAATGTTAGGACTTTCCATGCTGTTCTCACGGTGCTAAAGTTCACCATTGTTAGAGCAGCATGAGAAGTGTTGTCAAAGGATTCATTCAGCTGTGTTTTGTGTATATCAGGGGTTCTCAACGTTAGTCCTCAGGACCCCCTACCAGTCCAGGGTTTAGGGATTACATGGGTGTGTCTAAGGTGTTTAGAAAAAGAAAAAACAAACACCTTAGAGTCTAAGGTGTTTTTTCCCCCTTTTTCTAAACACCTGAGACACACCCAGGTAATCCCCAAATCCTGGACTGGTAGGGGGTCCTGAGGAATGGGTTGAGAACCCCTGGTGTATATGCTGAACGGAGCTCACCTCCCTGAAAGACATCCACGACTCTTGACATTGCTCAAAGCTGGACATAGCCGACATAAACATGGAACAGGGTTATGTGTAAATTGACTGAAGCCACAGAATAGCTGCTACTAGTTTTTAGAGTAGCTCCACTCATGCCAGAGGATGTGTCCCAAGCAGGGCAAATCAAAGGGGAACAG